AGTGGGACTCAGTTCTTAACAAGGAAGTGCACAATTTCGTAATTGAATGCTTCAACTGAGAGAAATTATCTCAGCCGCTCCCGACCAACGCGGGCACTGTCCGTTTCGCGGAACAATACGGGTCCTAACGTAAATCTTGAAGAGCTGGTAGATGCATATCATTGAGCAAAGAACGCATGTAGTTGTCGGACTCATACAGCATTCAGAACATCAACTCCGTCTGATTCTCTTCCTATCATCGGATGTACGGAGCGCGTCACGCTGATTATGAAGAGTGGAATTTTCTGTCGGGTTGGCGATTCTCAACAGAACAAAATTGACTCATATTAGGAAGTCGCTGGTGTACGGGGTTTGTCCAGGGCAAAGCTGGATAGAGTTTCGTTTCCAATACAGCACCGGTATAGTTGCACAATGCTCTTATACTGGGAGTAGACGATCAGACGAGAAAACAAGCGGACAGAAGAATGACCACGTTCGCCAAGTTCGCTCGATCATGACTCTCTGCCAAAACTTTACAAAAACGAGGCCTTGCGTAACCTCTCGGTCCGAGTCACTCCTTCGGGTATTGTAGTCTCTCGCCCCGGGCGTCGCATCACGAGATCGATTCAAAATTAGGCAATTCAAATCCAGTGAGAAAATCGACCAGGAAATCGATTCACTTCCGTGCACGATACGACTCTGTCCACTGTTGCATAAGTGCGTCAGCCCCGCGGCAGTATCGCCCCTGGGCATACTCGGTACTCGGTCATCGGTTCTTCTGGTATGTCGAGCTCGAGAGTCTCACTCGACGCATACTACGAGCGCCTTGCGAAAGTCTCCCGGTCTAATTCCTTCGGCACTCACTCGCAATCAATTCTTCTCGCGACAGAACCAGGCCTCCGCGCGGACGAGCATCACCAGAAGAAGCAGGAAATCTTCGAGACGGGTGTCCGGGACGGGGTCGAACTCGCCTCGAGGAGATGGGGATCGGCATCGGAGCCTGACTGAGTGCCCTCCGATGCCGACCGGAAGACGGCTGATCGACAAACGGTTGCGAAAGCAAGGCGTTTTCTGAGCGTTATTTTCGACAGGTGTTACCACTTGTTCCTTTTCTTAGCGTTGAAGCGTAGAGTTACGCAAGGATAGTACTTGTCGTCGTTTCGCGCTGCGATGATCCTAGGAGTAGAAGACGTTGAGGTCCTCATCTTCGCCCGCTGGAATGCTTGCTTTCGGTTGCAGCCAGGTTCGATGGCAAACTGCGCTTGTTTGACTGATTGAGAAGTGGTGAAGGAGATGGTGGGTGGTTACTTGCTTGCTTGCTTGTGAACGCGTGTGTGTCTACGTTTGACAAAAACTGTCAAGACACTTCGCTGTCCCGAATGTGTTGCATTCAAAGGAAATCTTTCTTACCGCTGAACATCCTCATTGAGGATCATTAAGGACATTAATAATTGAATCAGGCACAATGATTCATATTGTTCTCCTTCGTAGAAATGTCGCTGAACCTACCCGCTCGATGAAGAGGGAAGAGGGTACACTCTTCGGGGTGAAAATCCCGGACGTCGACCGAGCCCCGGCTATCTAGAGATGGCAATGGGCAGTCCTCGAAAAGGAACCTAAATATATTTCTCGGAGCCGAAAATACTCGAAAGACTAGACTTGCTTACGAGACCCGAGATCTATGGTACGCGGAGCAACAGACCGACGCGTATGGGAGCGACCCATACCATCTGAATGGAGATTCTTCATTTGTGTCGCAGGCGCGCGGAGAAGGGTTCGATTCGTTCGGATGAGCACCGACTCGAACTAGATTTCCCTCCCCGGCAAAGGAGCATCTGGCGGAGGAGCAGATCAGGACCGAGGGGTGACGCTCCTGGATCCGTAGCCAGAGCGTCCTTTCGAGACGGATTCCCAAACTTCGGGTCGGCCGGCGAAAAGAGCCGCTAATTTCCGGGAGTTTCCCGCCGCGGAAGTCGTGGGAGTCCTGAGCTCCGGATTCGCTCGTACAGTCTCCGTCAGAGGCTGCAACGACTGCCGACAAGAACTGAAGACAACGCCTTCAGGAGTTGAGGGCTTCTTATCAGTTTGGTAGCCAAAGTCCTTCGAAATTTCTAACGATCACGGATCAGACTCACCGAAATTTGATCCTTTCTGTCAGCTCCACACCAGAATTTCTAATGCCCAGAGTAAGTGTTTTTTGTTCCTTCGACCGTCACGAACGACGTCAGATGACATCATCCTGAAACGCTCATCGATTCACGCGAACTCTTCATTGTCTCCTTTCTGACTGCTGGGATGATCTCAAGATTCAATTTCGGATGACCTGGGGAACCATGTACAGCAGTGGTTTCAGAGAATCCAATGATCGAGATGCTCAGGACCAGTGGCGTATCTGGGTGAAATGGCGCCCGGGGCAATCGAGGGAAACGCGCCCCCTATTGAACAATTTTTGTTTAAACATCTGTTTTTTTTCCATGTATTCATTTATATGCTCCATATTTTATATTACACGATATCACAATGTTTCACAAGGTTAGAAATTAACTTTACGCGCTTTCATCGAAGCAAACTTTTCCACTAAGGCTTCGAAGACCGTTTCTTCCGTCGTGTCTCTCTCTATACTGAGAAGAGATAGATCAACGAGCCTGTCCTGACTCCCATAATTTTCCCATAATTTCTCTCAACTGGGCGAGTTCGTTCGGAGCGGAACGAGTTGTTTAAGCGCCTCGGTCAAGTATTACATCTCCAGATCATCACAAACTGGATTTGTTTTTCCAAACGGCTACATAGGTAGTATGAGCTTGATTCACGATTCTGCGCCCCCTGAGATCTGCGCCTGGGGCGCGTGCCCCCTCTGCCCCCCCCCTTGTTACGCCACTGCTCAGGACCATCCGCATAGTGTTCGGCGACGAAGAAGCGCGGCCTTTCCTGGACAATGCTTTTTCAGGGGATAATTAGCACCTGGAAGTTTGTATTATACAGGGTGGCTGATACGCATCTGTCGTAGTTCCATATCCGCTGTCCCTTCAGGCGCTAAGCTCCTTTGGGAGATGATGAATGCCCTGTCCAAGATAAGGGCTTGTGAGCTGACGTTGGATTTCAAGTCAAAGACTCTGTTCTCGTTGGCTCAACGGCAGCAAACATGGGCTTCCTCAACGAATGTGTTTCATTTAAGGAATCTTCTGTCTCCGTTTAGCGGCTTCTAGGCCGCTCGCAGAAGCTCTCATATATACCTTTCGGAACCACGATTCAAGTTCACGGTTGCCGTCATGCCAACTGCCGGCATCTTTTCGGGGAGTAGAGCTTGTCCCAGCCCCCGGAGCAAGCGCCTAGCTAAACCAATGGAATCCTTCGATCCCGAAAACAGGTTCGAGCTCTCAACAAGCTCACCATTTTCGCTCTGAATTGCGGGATGCATCGGAATTGGCCGCGAATTTCGGAATTTCATTTTTCCCTACCCCCGAAGCCCTCGTGACCGCTGCGTTTATGATCATCGGTTGGAGAATATCAATTTCACTCGATTCCGATAATCTGTGTACACGGAAGAAGTGAGGCTGGCTTCCTCTGGTCACGAAGTAGGCCATTCAAAGAGCATATGCGTAGAGCCGTACAATGCGTAGCATGGAGCGATTACCAGAACCGCCGAACACAACAATCCAAGTACTGAAGGAATGAGGAGGAAATCATCGAGGCTTGACGACCCTTGAAGGCGATCGGTGTCGTTTTAATGCTATAATGACTCGAAAGGGTTTAGTTCTCGTGGAGGAACGATTGATTTACTACACATCAAATGCTGGATCTCGACGTTTGACCGACCCATGGGAAGGTCCGAATGAGCATCGGACTGGATTCCACCTATTCAAAGTATCGAGTCGGCCCGGAAGAATCTGGAATCCCGTATTTTACAATGCTGTCATCACATGGCGGCCAGAGCTCCCTCCAAGACACCAAGCACCAGGTTTCGATTCCAGGAAAATTAATGTCCAGGAAACTGGAGCAGTCGATCTCTACGCATTTTCCTCACATCGCGGGAGGAATTCCGGGGTTCGGGGAGGATTTCTCCGGATTGATTTATCGCATTTGTCGACCTAATCTTTCCCTTGTAACGACTAGGATTCTTTAGAAACGGTTTTAGCCTTCGCTTTCCTCAACTCCCCGAAGTCCGGTCAATAATTGAGTCGAGCTGTGATTTCCAATATTTGCATAGGCCCACTGCCCCAGCCGGACCCAGTCCCCATCCAAATTAATGCGTCCAGACTTCTGTGAAGTTCAACTCGAGGAAGAGTCCGCCTGACCCAGGCGATGGTCGTCATTACGGTCCCCTTGTGGTTCTGAACGAAGTTTCCAGCAGTGATTCATCCGATCTATCCACATGCGGTGAACTCGAGGTTTTTGACTCGCCATGACGCGATACTTTTCCTCAGAAATCATCTGCCTTTGTGGAAGAAGGAGGTCCCATAAGACAAGAACCTCGCAGAAAGAGAGTCTGGGACCGCGATCAGTGAGGGACGAGTCGAATCTGCGCTCCGAATACGAAGGGAAAACCCCTGAGTGGATCCAGGCCGGATATATGAGTCCTCAAGATGACGCGACGAAAACACGAGAGGAGGGGATTCTGAGCGTCCAGGGTATCCCCGCGGCCCGCATCTCCGAGCGCTGGGGGATTCCCCGCCGTCCCACCGTGACTCATTCCAGGAGAAGAAGACTCATTGTCCATCCGATCAGACATCACCTCCCGACCGATTCGTCGCCGGACCGATCGAGCGGCGTCGGTCACCCTTTCTTCTATTTTCCAGAATTTCCCAAATTCTATGCCGCGAGCTCGCGGGCGTTTGTCGTCGTCTTCGGAGGAGGTGGAAGCAGCGGCGACGTTGTCGTCATCGTGGTCGTCTGCGTCAGCTCTTACCACTGACGGTGGACCTTTCCACACGACGGCACAGCTCCACAGTGGACTGCCGTAGCCGCAGCGGCATCGGGAGAGAGTCGTGTCTGTCTAAGAAGAGGCCAGAACAGAAAATCTACTGGGTAGTCAAACGACTGCATTCGTTGAAGTGACCAGCAGTTCTCACTTGTGGGAGAGTTGTGGATAGTGACCGACCGTCATAAGATCGGATATCGCTCAAGAATCGGTCACCACGATAGAGTATACACATGCGCATTAGAGTACGTCGGAGAGGAACTTTCGGACAGTGTTTTATCCAAAGGATTACTCTGAACTACTTCTCTACTGTGGACACTCTGACACTACGGTGTCCGGTGACGGCCGCTTCTGAGAGTCTACTCTGAGGTGAGTGCATAAAGTCGACTCTGGCGAGAGTCTAGTGAGCTCGGTCGAGACGAAGCGAATTCCGAACACGAACCAGTGGAGGTGCATTATGTCGCAAAGATCCCTCGCTCCGGAACGTTTCCGAACCCAGGGTGTTCGAACTCTCGGAGTTCGCAATCCCGCATGATGAAGCAGAGCTCTCGGAGTAGAGTTCGACAATCGTGCGCTCGGGCCGCCCGTGCATAGGGGTCGATCCCGAACGTATCCATCGGCGCTTCCGGGCATTCAATGATTTCCCTATAGTTCGGTCATTGTCAATGTATCCAGTACCGCTGACTTCGATCCTCAGAGAGGAACAATTTCTTTCTGGACTAGGCCGGCCATGGTCTCAAGGCTCCAGAAGTCAGAGACGGCGAATCAGATCCGGACAGTCACCCACCATTCATTAACCACATGCTGAATGAAAAATTTCGCCGACGTCTCGAATTCTTTGCGACGCTTATTCTGCATACCTGCATCAGGCCATACGTCTAGCGGTGCTCGTGATTGAGCCCCGACTCGATCTGAGGTCGGAGAAGATACGACGAAGGAATTTCAAGATATGAGCAACATTCGAAGTCATTCGGAAGCCACAAGCTCACCGTTGAACCGGAAATTCTGCTGAATGAGATGAATGCTCCCAGAAGAGTGCTTTACGCGATCGAGCGTCGGACCGGAGGAAATATTGTCGAGTTTTCTCCAAATTCAGAAACGTGGGGAGAAAGAAAGATAAGCGTCAGAAAACGGCGCGTGCTCGCGCTTCAGTGGTGTTCTCCGTCTCCGGGGAGTTTTGTGAACTGTCTTCGTGCGAATTATCTGCGGGTGTAGGATTAAATCCACGGTTCGATGAGTGGTCGCTGATACATATTTCGATACCACACCTAGCTTTTGGAATCGACGTGGTGACAGCAGTTTCTGGCGGAAATGTTTATGAATTGGATTCTGCAGCCTAAGCCGATTCTCGGCGGTTTCAGATTCCGCAGTGTTTGCTCTCGGCCAAAAGTTCAGCGAGCCGCTCCTCGTTAACCTCCCTGGAGTTCGAGTTTCCGAAATACCCCTCTTGCGGCAAGATCATTCGTTCCCCCCGCTTTTCGGGAGCGGAAATGTTGCCGGGAGCGTATGCAGTGTCCGTTTGTTCCTAGTGCGCGAAAGCTCAACGGCGCCGGCGGTCAGTAAGGCTGAAAAACATCAGGTAGCCGCCACCCGTCCGTCAGATGAATAAATGAGTACGTCACGACAGAAAGTATTGTTTTTGCTCGACTCGGGATCTTTCTGGTCGTAGCAGAATCGGAAGTCGCGCATACGGCGGGAAGAATCTATTCAAGAGAATTTCACTGCCTTGCCGTTGTCTTCTCAGAAGTCCGAGGCATGCTGCGGATATTACTCGATACTGGAAGAATTGAAAAACGCTCACGACGGCGAATGTTGTGAGCGTCATACCTAAAGCATTCGAGGGGAAGGAAGACTTGGGAGAAATTCAAGGAGATCCGAGATCCCTAGCATCCAAGATCCATAGTACAAACCTTCAGAGAAGAAAACCGCGTCTTCCGACGGGTTACGCCGGGGAGCCGTGAAAGTTCCCGATAGCTCTAACAAGGACTGCCGGTAGTCGCGAAGCGCTCCGATGATTTTTTGCGTCGGACACCGGTCATTTTGCCTCTTAGTGGGTCATTTCGTAAATTTTGACTTGCGATCGTCAGAGCTTCAGGAGAATCGGATTTCCCGTTAGTCGAATCGACAAACTCACTGGCATCGGAATCCATTCGCAGCGTCGTCGGCTGGGTGCGAACCCCATAGGTGCAAAGCTCGAACAACTCCCGAAGACCTTCGCCGTTTCACGGGCAACGCGCGAACTGAATTGCGCTTTTGTGCTCGGGGCTACCAAGTTTTATTTGGATTCAATCTTTCGTCGTATGTTTTCTCGCCGACGAATTCTCGGAGAACCTTCTCGATTCCGGGGTCTCACCTTGAATGAGTCCGGTGAAGGGGTCCGAACTCTGCCCCACCCAAATGTTCCGTCTTGAAGTGATCTGTGAAAATTCGCCTGGCTCTCTCGCCCGGGGAAAAGGCTCGGGATTCGATCTCGCAAAGCATAAGGAATTCATCGCATAGCCCATCTTCCGGAGAAGCTTTCCGAGAGGAGCAGCCAGCAATAAGTCGTGAGGGCTAGACAAGGTTGTCCGAGACGTAATTGGCAGCGAAGACAAAGGAAGACACCAAGGAGATGATTCTGTGTTCTGTTTACTTCCAGCTGTGGTCACACAGGGGCCATTAGCCAAATGTTTATTTAATTTCCTCCACTCGCATGAGGAAGACGTTTCTGACGGCCCTCCCATATCAGAGTCGTCATCGACGTCGTTAGGCTAACACACTATGATCTCCATCCCCTCTCGGCCGGATCCCGACAGGGACGGTTCCCACGACCTTTGGAAACTGCATTTGAGGTCGATATGAGATATTTGTCCGAAATACATGGGCGGAACACCCAAACTCGTTCTCCGCTCTTCTCCCCATGCTCGGGGAGGGGGTGAGACGGATACTCGATCGAACAAATTCTTCAGAGATGCAAGCGACGCCCAAATTCTCCTCCGACAATTCATCTCCGATCATTATTCGTTTGAGGCAGGAATAAAGCGTCCCAGCGTTCGCTCGTTCGACAGACGCAGGAATCTCGATCAAATCGACAGATCCGCGATTCGACGAATTTCTCCGATCGATATCCCGATGAGGCTTGCAAAACAACAGCAAGATGGCGTTACATCATGAGTTGGATCGTGAAGCCTTCCCCCAATGTCGAACACATCTTCTGCCGGAAGAAGAATTGTACAAGGCCAAGGCGCCCGCAAGTCAGACTGACAACCAGACAGGCAACCAGTGGAATGACCTGGACTTAGAATAATGACTGGAAGAAGGGAAGAAAGTGTCGGCGATCAATGGAATTCGAGGACTTGGGTGAAGTTAATTTCTTTGGCGGATACCAGTCGCATATCCGGCACTCCCATAGGGATGCGGGAGGCATGTTTTGTGCAACCTCCATACGATCAGCACCGGAAAAGCCTTAAGGGAAAGACCTGTAGTTTCCTTCTAGGATTGATACCGATAATAAGCGCCTCAATCGGGAGGAGCATGCGGACAGTTTCTCGACGGTCCAGCCCTACTGCATGCTCACCTTCGGTGCTCCGTGACGCCCAACCCAACCCTGCAGACCCACGACTGCAGCCCGGCGCAAGGCGCTGCTAGAAATAACGCCCAGACGCTCTCCCAGTCTTTGATCCAATCTCGCGATCCTAGCCAAAGAGGAAGCAATGCTCTGGGTACCGAGTGAACGTGCTCCAGGCCCAGGAATTCTCCGCTCGTCGCTGAAGCGAGATCAGGGTCGCGGTTCTAGGAATGCTGTCGAGAGTGCCGGCAGTGTTGCCGAATATGAAGTTTCTTGTTCTTTGAACTAGCCGTTGAACACCTCATTGACAAAACAGGGGAGTTTTCCGCCGCGCTCCAGGCAACTCGCGTCTCTCGAGCGAGTAGTGATATCCCCTATAAACAGAGCGAGCTACACGAAAGTACTTGGAAAGTGAGCCAACAGTCCTTATCTTTCCGTTCGACAATGATTCTTCAAACCAGTTCTTCCACGTGGGCGGTTGTAAGCTCATACGTTGACCAACCCGACGTAGACTGACTGAGGGGGATGTCGAGGAAGCTTCTGTTTGTAGAGCAGCTCTCCTTTCGCGGCGCCGCGGCGTCGGGGCGCAGCTCTCGATGCTTCGATTTTCTCGAATATCACTTCTCCTCGGTCGGTAGCCTGCAGCTCGAGTTCGACCTCAGTTATTCGAGCTGGAACTCCGAGAGAATGTCTCCGGGATTCATCGCCTCCCTGAAAACCGGGTTAGCCGGGCTTATGGTCGACTCGTTCAGAGGGCGTTCTTCCGCCGAGAATGGATTCGGAGCTCTTGGGGAAATGGGGGTAGTTTCGAATCCAACGCGGGATCCTGTGGTGCACTAAGGAGATAGCGCATGAGGATTCCTCAGTGCGGGCAGCGAGTATGACGACGCTCTTCCCCCGGAAAAGAGGTGCATTGTCTCGACGAAGTGCCCCCATGGATCAGATGCTTGCGAGACCGTAATGAGCAATCGCTTCCGCCCACGTGGTGAAGCTGCGCTATAGATTTCGATAGATGCGCCGAGGAACATCAATTTTTCATCTCATCCCGTCGAATGTGATTTTTCTGGAGTGATAAGCCCGATCTTCCCATCCCGAACGATGCTACGTTGACGACGACTGCCCAGACTGGATATTTTCAAGAATACGTGTCTTCCCGGGACTCGCCTGGGGGATTTTCGATTGAGAGTTCATTGAGCAATGCCCGCAAGACCCTACAATGATTCTCTCGGACTAGATCCTCGCATCTCTGGACGTTCGAATGTCTGAGAGTCATACCATCTTCTCAATCGGAACCGTGCGGAGGACAGAGCCGATCGATTGATAGTGCAGCGTTGCATCGAACTCGACTGATCACCCTTCCGGGACGCCCCTCGTTCGAGGACTTCGCTACCTCAGATGAGACAAGTGAATGACCCAATAAGGTCCATCACGTATCGGAGGTCTGGAAGGTTCGGCAAGTACAGCCCGACCCTACCGAGAGAGATACTGTATTGCAGCTCCGAAACCCATCGTTCTGCCGGAACGATCATCAGAGAACGGAGTTTTCTAGAAGATTCAGACGACAGAAGTTCTCGCGAGAATCGAGTCTCACATGAGCAGCGAAGCCTCCACGCTAGCTCTGCATTGAAGCTTAGCCTTGACATCGAAAAATTGTGATCCGATGCCCCGTGAGGGACGTGAGCGCTCGCACGAATTCTGCTTGCGATGCGTTTTGAGCTCTCCGCTCGGCAAAGAATATGTGCAGTGAAAGTAAACACTATTATATTGCTTTGCTCAATCCTTGCTCTGGAGATGAAGACGTCGGCTACGTTCACGTATCTCACAGCCGAAGCTGCGGAACGTGGAGAGGAGAGTGGATTGTTTGGATTCTCTTATACGTCCCTAAGCGAAATCTGCGAGGATGAAAATATTTGGTCTTTATCTGTATGCTCTGCTAATATAAGCAAACACGCTACCACGGAGTCGGTGGAATAGTATTCCATGCTTCTCGATGGTTGTTCTTGTGACAGGAGATAGATAGACAAGACCAGTGCGGAACATCCCGGCATTGCGGATCAAATGAGAGAACTCGCAGGGCGTTGCGTATGGAGTTGAGGCCCCGAGTTCATCTGCTATATCATATGGTGAATGACAATCGATGAGATACTTCCATTCTTTGACGTTCCGCCGGAAGGGTACCGAGGCTGGAATCGTTCATGGGGGAAGGCTACGGACATGGAAATTCGGGAATGGGTAGCCGACTCCTCGACCATCAGGCTCCATTATATTATCGATGACGGTTCTGTAGCGAGTTTGGAGGACATACGATACTAGTCGATTGAAAATTTCAATTGCCCTCCAACCTAAAAATCGTTCCATTACGTAAGTCGACTCCGGTTACTCGATCGATCTTCGGACCAGGCTTGCCGGCAACACATTGATTACGATGGGGTGATGAAACATCCGAAAATTAATTGCCGTTTCCACACCATCAATCAATCGATCTCAAGTTTTTCTGCAGTATTTTTCTGTGTTTTCTCTGCGACTTTAGCGTTTCCTCGCATCGGGGAGCGTTCTGTTCAACGAAGTACGGATATTCGGTTCGGAATCGTAGTGCCGAGGCGAGATCTGACGCTGGGGTTATCGGAGTTGGTTACCATTTGGATGCCTTTCGATGTTTGTTCCCAGTCACCCGTCCATATCGTAAGTCTCCTTGATTGTTTCGCGCTCCGTGCCCACGAAAATGGAAGAGCAAACTAGCAGGCATAAATTCGCTGTCACTCGAGATTTATGGGCAGAGCAACATTGTAGCCGAACCACCCTGCCGGGCTTTCTTTTGGACTCATGAGCTGTCTAATCAAGATTGGAGAACCTTGAACTTGGAATAGACTAAGCAGGCGACCACCTCTTCTCCTAATGAGAAGAAAACAAGTCGTGCGACCGCGTAGTTCATGTTAGACGGAACTCTTGTCGCGGCGATCGAGCCTCATCGAGCCGCGCGGTCGAGCCTTCCCCACAGATTCTAACACGTTTCGAGGCAGCCTCCGGAGAACTCACCTTCTGCTCCGACAAAAACCTCCGCGAATACTGTTCATTGAACTTAGTGAGCTCATGCAGATTTTCTTGCGCCTGGTTTTCCGCCCGGACGAGCATCCGGCGGGGTTCCATTTAGAACGTTTTTCAGTCTGTCTCGGCAGGTGTTGCGTGTCGGACGTTTTGGTGGTCGCTTCCGTTTGTGATTTCGCAGGAGGAAGAAAGAAAAAAACTATTTTTGGAGCGTTCGTTGTGTCTGCTTGTGCGTTTGCTTTCTGCTGAGCGAATAGTTTGGTAAGCCGACAAGGTCAACCCAGAAGTTTCAGACCGGTGACCAGGCTTTCAAGAGCGAACGGCGCTATCGATTTGTCTCCCAGTTCCCGTTAACCGAGACAGATCGAGAAGGAGAGCGCACACGAGAGAGAGAGAGAGAGAGAGAGAAAGAGACAGACAGAAAAATATGGACCGAAAAATCCACGTGTCTAAGCTGGTGGAAAACCATTTCTGGTTCCGCAGCGGAACTGATCCCATTTTCTACCACCGGATGCAGTTGTCAGAGAGAAATTTCGGGCGAGCTCCGATAAGGGGATTTCGATCGGTGTGGCGGCGCAACACTTCCGATGTCAAAAATGAACCTCATCACCCTCACTATGACATCGAGCGCTACCTGCCGTACCCCTGTCCCAAGATGCGCCCCATGGCCTCAGGATCTTCCACCGCACCCGGCGAGCCTCCGCGACTGCGAAGAGTTCTGCAAGTGTGAACGTCGACCGTGAGCGTGAAAGGAGCGACGTCTTCGTCTTTGCTTACGAGTCGTCGGAACATTGCTTATTCAAGGACCGGCCAGCGATTGTTGTTCACGACAACGGTCGAAGCTAACGAGCTGAATTATTACTTTCGCTCTGTCATACGGAAGCGATTCCGATTTCATGGTACGACGGTACTGTCGGCCGTACGGTGAAGTACCGGTGAATGAGCGTCGCTGGTCAGGCCATCAGACAAGACCATTGCGATTTTTTGTGGACACGTGCAGTCATTCACGGAGGCAGTCAAATTTATCTCGAAAATGGATCTAATCCGGGAAACACAATCCGATTTATCGTGCCGGTACCGGAGCTTTTCTGCGATGGCCGCGGTGTGGTGAGGCACCAACGTTCTGAAGAAGTCCAGAATGGTTGACCCCCCACTCCGCATCCGATTCGGATGACGCGGGATCCATCTGAGAAGACTTTAATTGCGCCGAGTCATCATCGGTGTGAGTATATTCTGGCGCGACGACCTTGCTAACCCTTCAGCCAAATATTGCCACACTGACTGACTGACCGACTGACTCACCCACTGGCATCACTTGACTCGTCGGCTCATGTCCGGATAGCCGTCATCTAGTTCAGCGGAGCCTGATGGAATGCTTCAGAACCAGAAAATCTTTCCGTAGAGGCTCACGCTCCGACCGAAGAAATTCCATCAAGCAAGGAGGGTCTTGACCGCCTATCACTCACTCGAAACTATCAACTCAGATTGACAAGTTCGAGGAGAGTTGTGGCAGGCTAATACTTTCGAGTTACGCAACGAATGTTCAACGAAAGGCGTTGTTTTCTCTCTAGCGCAGAAAGATCGATATAATAAATAAAATGAGGTGCGACGCGTATATCAAGCGCTGAGCTTTGACGTGAGGGCAAAAAGGTCGTCGTGACACTCCTGATCGACGGGTCTCGCTAACGAATGGCGTCCCATGCTGCGGTGATCGAATCCGATTTTTACGGTCGTAGGCCTAGGCAAGTTTTCGCATAATCTCAAACCCGATAATGACATTCGTGGGAGTGCCGTCCTCAATCACCGGGAAGCTCTTCCGTTTTCCGTAGTCAAGGACGCTGGAGTAGTAGTGTCTCTGAGGATGTCCCTTACCCGCTCCCGTTCCATCGATACTCGAGCTCTAGGCTCCGGATTGCGGGTATTAGGAATTGAGAGCGTCGGGATTAAATGCGTTCGACGGGATACTGACCTTATAATTGTCGTGCTTTTTCTCCCATCGGGTAGCGATCGCTCCTCCATGTCTCCGGGATGTAGCCCTTGCTGCTTCAGTGCGAGGGCTTCTGCATCCTTGAGCCCCGGTTCGGCCCCTCTGGTAAGGGCTGCGACGAGGGCTCAGACGGCCGGAACATCGGCGGCATTCGTCTGTTCGACACGGAACCGAAGTGCTCCCCGCTGGCCAGTTGGCTGCTGACGCCTATAGACTACAGTGGAGGAGGTGGCCTCAAGTGTTTTGACTGGTGACGCGACTTGATCGCACGGAGAGTGTAGGAGATTGGTGCTGGTTGGGAGTGCGCAACTCGGACATACGCGAGGAGACGAGCGAACGATCATCATCCGTATTCGGAGTGGCGGTGCTCAATTGCTCTCATCCTCCACGTCGATGGATGCTACGAGCTTTCCAATATGTGTTCCTTGGGATTAGAGTGTAACTCCACTGGCGCCTCAGCTCGATGATAGAATGCTGCTCCGACCCGGAACGTGGTAAGGTTCTCCGCCGAGACAAAGCGCTGCCGGAACTTGCGTCGGAATATATTTCTGATGTGTTTCCACCTTTTCCCGTGGGACGCTGGCTTCACGTCCAGTGGCTCGGTGTTCGAAGAAGCATGGTGTTTCGAACGAATGCGATATTCAATGGTTGAGTGACCTAGGAAAAAACTACGCATACGCTTGTACAAAGGTACCCAGGGCGAGGCCAAAGACCACAATTTTCATTTTGAAAGTTTCACAGAAGCGACATAGGCGTTGCAATACTGCACAGTGGGTAGAGAATTTGATAAACAGTTTAAGGTCTTCTTGGCCTAGCAGTCGATATACTGGTGACCCCACGGAGCCGTGAAGGACGTCATTGTGACTCATGGGAATATACGGCTCAGCCAAGCCCACATAATCGTTGTCTCTTGACAACCCTTACGCGACAAAAGCTGAATTACGTTTGTGAATTTCGCGTTTCTCCCCTTTATCATTCTCCCATCCTCGCGCGATCGTTATGATATATTCGTGATCGAATACACGGGAGCAGAAGCGAGAATGAACAAGCCGAAAGGTCGAAGACCAGAATCGCCCGTCTCCCAAATATGCGAGGAGTTTATCGATTAGCATTTGCATTCCGGTGCTTGTCAAGAATCAGGCTATCTGGATGCATGAAATGCCCATTGGGGTCCTTGGTTCGACGATCATTCTTCACTTGTTCCAACAATTATAAGTGAATTCATGAATTCCAAAGAATTCCCCCCTTTTCGTCGTGATAGCGAATTCTCGGAGATTTCCTCGGATTATCCGAAGCTTGTCGTTATTCTTGGGAAGAGTCCGAGTAATTTTCCAGGATCTTCGTCATGAGGCTGTCGTGTTCTATTCATTCCTAATACTCCGACACACATGCACAGTCGAATCTATATCCTTTGCAGGTTTTCCATCAATTCAAATTTCCGGCCCTATTACCTCCGAGCTCTCTTGTTCTGATTGCATACGTCATCGACAGCCTTTCCGACGTTGGTCCGAAGGATATCTGAGGGAAAAACGTCACGGGGCTCTAGGCGGATTAAGGACGGATGTCATTGTCGATTGTGAGCTTTTCTGAAAACAGGATTTTTGTTCTTTGCAGAGCATGACGGCCGGGTGGTTCGATGCCTGGCGGGAAGATGGAGGTCCAGCCCTTCACGCAGATCCGAACAGAACCCACGTAACTGTGGACACCCCAGAGCTATTCATCTGCATAGCGTTCGTCACGTTATTTGTGGCCTTCCTCATCATAGTGCCAGGTTTGTGTCTTTACCGAAGCTTCTGTACCACGCGGCTTGTCGCGTTTCCTCCGTTCGGCGATTGTCAGCCGAAGTGTTACACGTACCGTTTGACGCTTGGCACAGACGCTTGCAGCATCGCCAAGACCATGCCCAGCTTTCGGAACTCGTTCCGAAGCCACTTCTGCACTCAGTCAGGCACTCAGCTGGCTGGCTGCGAGTTTGGATTCACGATTTTCATTCACTCAGCCGTGGAATATCTTATTAGCTCAGAACGCCAGTCATCGACGAAAGGCGAGGGACCGAAAATATTGACTCCGCTATCTGAGAATGTTTATATTAGACTATGCGCCGGATGGTGTATCTTCATGAATTCAATTTTTCTTGCGCGTTTTCCCTCCAACTCGTTGGCATTCACATCGAGGGTCTGAGCGGTTGAAGAGATGTCAACTCGAATTTTCTCTGTGAGGGCTTCATCTGAAATGCAAATTCTTCGGATCTCTCCTAAAGATCGTGCGTCGGCGTGATTTGTTGAAAGCGACGTTTGAGAAACGGGGCTTTCTTCATTTTCGCTGTTTCTTGGCAACTTCAGGCACACGAGCGGCTTCTGCGGAGTTTGGCCAGGGCTTGATCGTCCGCTCATTCGCCCGCTTGGAAATTTAAAGTATAAATTCACAAAAACGAAGGAGAAAACAAAGATGCATCGGAACGTCCTTGGGCTTTAGATCCTCGAAGGGTCTGTTTTCTCTTTCGATGTTGATGCCCGTATTCTGAATACGGCTTCGGTGCTTATGGTCTGTTTGGCTAGGGTCAGCGCCCACGAGAATTTGAATATTCTGTTTAATCTCTCGTTGGTTTTTTCCTTGTGCATGCGTTGCGACTCACCGATTCATCAAACCCAATGGTGGTATAGTACGGGCTACCGCAACGAGCATCCTTATCGAAAATCGTATTCGTCTCCGGGAGTTCCCCGATACATTGCAATCAATTACGCGATCGGATGAGCTCGACTCTCGTGAAGAACTCCTCGGTGTGCAGGACAATCCGTCACACGGCCGGCCGGCTGCTTTACAGTCTGGAAAGCTCGACTGGGTGTACGCTGTCTCGCAGCATGTCGAAGCTCTCGCATCCTACCAACTAGGTCGGTTCTGATCTGTTAGCTCGAGCTTTACTCGGAATAATCATTCCAGGAAACATAAGTGTGCGGAACGCTCGCTTGGAAATTCGTAGAGTGGACCTAACATTTGCGTCTGAGTCTATGCTTATACCTCCATCAATTGATTGAATCCGGCTGATGAGTCCCCGGATCCGGCAGACTGATGTTCTGAATTTCTCGGGCCCGTCATTAGAATTCGAGCGACGCGCTTTCGATCCGAAATATTTGCCCATGGAAAGTGCCGGAGCAGTGGGACGTTGAAAAATTGAAGCGTCTCGCGGCTTCATTAATTATGAGCGATTCCGAGAGAGGCTCCAATTAATTCAGAAGCGAAAATAAGCATCCTATTTATCAGCCGATATCGACTGCCGAATATCCAAAATTTGAAGTTTCTATAACTCAGATCGCTGAAAGTTTCTCAAACTTATTCTTGCGAAAGTGCTGCAGAATTTGTGAGAATGCTCCCATAGTCTTCCATTTGCAACGAGTGCAGTTTCTATTCTTCGGGTTTCAACGACCATTCGCTCTGCTCGATCGGCTATTGTGAACGTGTCGCGTGTAACTGTTCTGAGAAAGCAGTCCGCCGACATGACACCCTCGAAAAGCCCCGCGATGCTTCATGAGGAATTATAACTCAAGGCTGAATTCTGATCTTAGAAGTCACCGAATTTCGGAGTTCATCGGCGAGTCGACCATGAACCAGTACTACGAGAGGAGGAGCGAACAAACGTGCGGAGGATGGACATAGACGCTAACAACAAGAGGACTCCATTGATTTGATATCTCTGGAGAGAAACTCCGCGAGGTCTCGCTCTCTGTGGGAAAATGAGAGCTCTCCCGGCGGCAATTTTCTCGACGGATCATTTAATTCATTGTATCTTGTATCCATCGATCGGTTTTACTTCACGCCGATGTTTTCGCAGAGCGCCGACGATTTTTGTTTATCCGAAGTCTTCAAACCATTTATTTCGCGCGCTTTGGCACGCATAATACTCCGAAAAGATCATTGGAATAAGCGTCGCTATGCCGTCAGGCGATGCAGAGTTTCCAAGGGGCAATTAAACGAAACGCCCGTCGAATTTGAAGCAGCTCCCATGTTTGTCGTCTCGAGCTGCCAGGGAACTTTGTCTCTTTCGCTGCGATTTGATCCGATTTGGAAACTCACATAGTCGTGACAAATTTGCTCCGAGTAGAAGCCGACTCGGCCACCTGGTTTCCCCTCGGGGTGGAGCCAATGGCAAGAACTTCTAGTGGTCATTCAGAGGACAAGGTTGGAATTTGCAGTTGGCACCTCCCTGCCAGCCACCAATCAGTCCCTCCGACCTTCACTCGAATTGTGTCGCCGTGGTCCGTCTGACGTTCAGTCCGAGCGTATCACTGCTCTTAGGGTCGCTGGCCGACTGTTCTAAAAATAGATCGCCTCAAGATAGACGGTGGCAGAAGATTTCACTCGTAGTGCTAGCCTTCCTCATGGTGTGGCTTTCGTTTATTCCAGGAATCCGAAGAGAGAGGATCACGACATGCCTATGCGTGACCGTATCACTCGCGGTCGGAGCGTCAATTTTGACAGCAATACACGGAGGAGGGTGGCACATCGCGCAAGCATCAACCAACACATTTTTCAAGTTAGTTGCGATCCGGAAGTTCAACATTCTTGTTCGCGATATTGCCTTCCAGCTGGTGGTCCCTTCCTCAATCATCGCGCACTCAGCATTTTATGATCCTTTTTTCTCCTCTTTCTCACGCATTCAGTATTCTCGATCTATCTGTTTTGAAATATCGTTGATGATTCTCCTGACGAGCTCCTGCGATCATTTTCGCCAGAGCCGAAAATTGGGAAACCCACGACGATTTCGCCATGATATGCTTTCTCATTTGATTTTTTTTTATCAGAAATCGTTATTAGGGAAACTTTTGAGAGACGATAATGCGAGCTGCAATGGTGACTTTCCAACACTTGCTCCCTCGGAAACAGCGCGAGCTCGTTTAGTCGGTTTCGCGCAGCGATATCCGACGTGATGGAGTGCAGCTAGGCGTGAGCTCTACGGTTCCTCTCCAGCAAAAGTCTTCGGCGATAGACATCTCAGAGCCATCTGAAGCAGAAGTCGGACTGATTTCCCGCAAATCGATTGGAGTTTGCTTGTGAGTCGAGGCAAGGAGCTCCCTCCATTTCGGCGGGGTATACCTTGCTGCAAAGAGACTTCTCGCCGCTCAGAGAAACACGTCTCTCGGCCCAGGGGAGCCAGAAAATTCGCTTCGCAACGACAACTTTTCGTCGTCTGATTCAATTAATAAATCTTGGGAGTGGTTTCTCTGGAATGTTGTAGTCTCCCTTGACAATCCGGCCCTCTATCTCGATTTTTCGGCTCCTATCTCTGTTTACCGGCGGTCGTTTACATCGTTCGTGCATGATTTTCTCTTCAGTGAGTCCAAACATTTCACGCTTTAATTAATGGCGGCAATTTAATGTTGCTCTGCTCGGTCCGATGTTCACCGATACAAGATAGAAATCGCCATTAGCACTCTCTCAGTCACTCAGCCCAACAGGCGGTGAGTCTGACTGCCAGTCATCCAGATCGACGGGGAATGAATCGAAGTTCACATCCTCACAAGCGATCGATTGCCTTCGCCCTTCCTCTCGAGTACCCGGTGACACCTATACACTCAACAAGAGCGATATATTTCTACGCTGAGAGTATCGCAGCGGAGCATACTAATAAGCGAGAGAACAGAAGGTGTCAATAGCCGAGGTTCTCGATATCCCATGTCTGGGTTGAGACTGGAGCGCCTGCGCTTTGTTGAACCCAAAAAGAATTGGGAGTCGCGTCGCTCCCAGCGCTCGAACGATATTGAGAGGAGCAGGGAGTATATGCTAGAAGCCAAGATTGACAGCCGAGCCTATGCGAAATTACGGCATAGAGCTCCGATGGTCCCAATCGGGAAAATCTCGGGTTAGCTGATAGCGGAGAACAAGGAAGGCGTTGAAGCTCGAACTTCTGGACCTCCCACCAATCTCAGCGCAGCTCCTGTCGGCGACGGAGAGGTATATCGGCTCCCGTCGTTCGAATTGATACATCTGGTCGCGTTCTGTCTCGAGTCGGCAATCGGAGCGTGCTGATAACGATTATTGTGGCAATCATCTTGGTAAGCAGCGGTGCGGCGGGTCGACGGATGAGTCTGGAATCTATTTCTTGTTTCTGACCCAGGGATGCACGAATCCGATCCTTCATCCCTGGAACGACTGCCGTCAGGTCGCGCGATCGGCAAACACGAGCCAATCCGTTGGATTTGCCTCCTCCGATCCAGGGCCGACTTTTTCCTCGCGAGACGAACTTTCCCTCACTCAGCTTTGTGTGTCAACACATGGTACATTTGTCATCGCTGTCTGGAAAAGAAATACTCACTGCTTCCTAGACGCTTCTCCCACCACAAGTGCTTCTCTGGAATAGGGGAAGTCGATGTGATGACGATGCGGTTAGGATGGATCGCTGCTTTTCGACCGGGATCAGGAAGTGAAGGCATAAGGCTTCAACTGGTTCTGCGACAGTCTCGTCAAGTCTCCGAAGGAGCGAGCCCGAGAACCGTCCTGATTGTTCAGGCTTTCCATCATCCAGCCGTTCTTCGAGTCTTTGACGAAGGGCTAGCTCATCCCAGAATCGTCTGCACACACACACCCGGTCGCACGAGAAGTCTCCGCGATCATCAGAAATGAAGCTAATCACTTCGCGGTTCTGAATGGATCCATAGCCTTCTTTTAGTACGGGATCGGATGCTCTTTTCCGCTTTCAGCCGACCTCTTCGTCGTATACGGGTCCTCCGCTCGGTCTGACACACAATGTGCCGAACTTCGCCCGAAATTGCGCGGGGATTGTGTCGATGTCGATGATGTCACAAGCTCGGCGTCTAGAAACCGACTCGTCGGGTGGCATGAGGCCGGCCTTTCTCTTCCCCTCGTAAAGCAGCTTGAGCGTGACAATGGGCGGCCTTTGGAATATCGCTCCACGGACGATTTCTAAGAGCGAGCGTGCGACCATGATGGGACGTGCAGAATCTGGATAGCGAGAGCACCGGTCTCATGGTCATCAAGGCGGTAATTACTCAGTTCGATCGAGCCGTATATGCCAACAATGTCATGGTTCCCCATCGAGACTAAATGAAATTCGGCCGGTCAATCAGAAGAGAGAATCGTTAAGTTCTGGGGCTCCGCGCCGACGGACCTGAAACTCTTGCGTCGACTCCTGCTCTTTTCGAAGCTCGGGTAGTGTACCCCACGAGTCTCCACGGTTCGGACAGACGTTTGAAGCGGATCGAATATTCCAACTCTCCGAGCTTTCATCGTCGGAGCGCTCCGGTGGGAGAATGAGTAATTCCATAATTATGTCATTATCTCAGAAGAGACTCACATGAAGCGCGTTCTGGACTCAATCCCGTATTGGGCGTCCAATCGATTGCAAAACATCGGTTTTCGGTCCCTTTCACTACGCTCGACACCCAATTCGTTGATATTCTGTATGAAGAGAAATATTGTCACATGAATCATTGGAGAAGGGCAGATACAGAGCGAAGGAAAACACCTGGGATACATACAAGTACAGGAAGAAAGACAGTTCCATTAAATCATAAATTGCATGTACCACGCGAACTCTACTGCGAGGAGCCTGCCAAGAAAACGTTCATCGAGCAGTCCGACATTTTGGCCGGCTAGTTTGCGTCGCTCGTGATCATCTCCAGCGAATATCAGGACGTCCGGCCAAGGTGATCGTGTAAATGTAGAAGAATATCTCCTTTTGGTCTGTGTCGGATTCGGAGGATCGTATACGAATGAAGTGCTCGGCGGAGAGCTCTTGAGCGACTCCCTCCCGACTGGGGCGATGCTTCCGTCAAATATCGCCGAAAGTCTCCTGATGAGAGCGAAAGTTCTCCACGAGGCTTCTCGGGACGAGGGTCTCGATTTCGGTTGTCTGACGATCCGTTCCCTCGATTCAAGGTCCCCTAACTGATCCACCCTTGAAACATCGCCAAATGTTATTCCATATCCAGATTATCGATTTGCGATGCCCCAACTTTCCGCGAAGCGAAAACAAGCTTGACCACCGCCGATGGTGGGGAAGAGGGTCCGGAGAATTTCAATCTTCATCCCCGCAATTGTCCGAGGAAACCCGGGATTGGATGTGGAACGGTCGAGGACAACCTCGACCCCTCTAGTGACACGACGGTCTGTCTCCGCTGTGCTGTCTCATTCCCATAACGGGTTCTATTCTCATTGAGAAAAGTCACTCGTTTCGGCGACGAGACAACTCCGGGAAGACGATTACGAAATCGGAAAGTTCCCGGTTACGCCTCTGCAGTGATTAATACGCGATTAGCCAGGAGTCAACGCGGAGCTAGATGCATGAGCTATCGGGTAGCTGGCTAAGCCGAACGGGAGTGGGCGACGCGGATGTCCCATGTTACGTAAGCCGGCAAGTTTCCCGACGACGACGTCCCATCGACCCTGGGGTCCGGGGTACTACGATGGAATTCTACATCTTCGAATTTCGATTCAGCTTCACGCTGCGGAGCGCCGTATTCAGTTTTGGGCAGAGCTCCACGCTTGAGAGCAGAGGCGGAATTTCGGAAGCTCCTGAGCAATCGGCATCCCCTATCGCCCCAGATATACAGAAGGGAGATGTTATTTCGGAGAGCGATGCAATCTATAGTAGGTGTAGATGTGTGTGTTTTTGAGCGGCAGTCAAATATAGTCGAAAGTCTAGAAAACAGTGCCCGCTTCGGGAGAGCAGGAGGAGCCGAGCTGCAAGACTGGTCGATTTCGGGCGCATTCCTCTTTCCCTTTTCGTTGCCTCTTTTCTGTTCCCGCGATCCTCTCGACCACATTCGCTGGACATGGACTGCATCTATTCAGGACGGATCTTCAGCGAAAGTGAGAGATGTCGGATCGGTGAACCGCTCCAGGGTCAGAGGTTACACATTCTAACTTTCGGATTCATAGATTTTATGCCAACAGCACGAAGGCAGGAGAAAGTGCCCTCGGGACAAGCGTCACCCTTGCTTCACGATCAGATTCAATGAGACTAATGATAGCATGCGAACTCGTGCTCGTCACTTTCACTGCTCCACGGTGAAAGACGTGCTACGGCGTTCCAGATACACAGTGACGGTTTGCCTGGAAGAACGGTGAACGAGGAACTGCATCGCATACATGGGAAGCACAAGATGGGAAAATCATCCAGAGAGCGGATTCATTATTCTGATGGAGCTGTGCTCGAGTCTAGTCCCGTATACTGCGTCGTGGTTTCTGAAAATCAGTGCTTTCCTGAAGTGATCTCACTATGGATCCTCTGGCACGATGAATCCGAACTACGTGGCAGACAGCAGCATCCAAAGTGTCGAGATGGGTGAAAACCGTTTACTTATCGTTTTTCTGTCAAAACACATCTGTCAGGGGAAAGATTGATAGATGGGGATGTGTGGAAGGAACGAATTGAGTCTTTAGGACTTTCGGTTTTGCAACGCCTTCAAGGCATCACTATATTCTCTCAAGCAATGTTGTCGTCACAAGAAGGTCCGCAGCATGACACAAGGGCTCATACTCGTCGCGAAACCGTCGCGCCGTCTGAGCGACGAAATTTGTGGTGATCCGTGTCCGCAGTTTCGAATGACAATTTTCTGTCTCGCTCCTGAAATCGCTGAGCAGCTTCCGATCGCTAGATCGGGTTTGATCATCTATCTTCCGACCAATTCAAGAAATTCTTCATTTTTGTTTCTCGATAATTCGTTCAGATTTCCATCGATCTTCGTCGTATGACATCTCGAGTAGCACGCGGATCTTTCTTTGACTGGGAGCTATTCTTTTCTTCTCGCTTTCTTGAAGACGTCCCGAGACTTTGACGCTATGTCACCGGTCGGTACCATGCAACTTGCTTCGCTTCAGAGAATTGTTCGAGGTCGTTTCACTGACCTAGCTTGTGAGATATACTGCCCTCCAGGCAGATCCAGAACAAGAACCGCACCGCCGGTGGCATAGCAAGATCGCCGGTAGCGAACGTGGTGACGTCACCAACATCCGTAAATATACGAATTACACATTGCGCGCAGCGTCGCTCTGAGCCTCGCAGGAGAGCTGAACAATCCTGAAGTGTATTGATTGAAGAACTCTGAGCCGCTCATTCATTCCATCCAGAGGCTTCCCCGGAGGATCCAACTAGGATTTTTACTAACGACTGACTCCTGGCTTAGCAGGGCATTCACGGACGAACGTCTGCCCGCACAAATCGGAGTTTCGATCGGACTGGTGTCCGTCAACGTCACGTATGCAGTCTCGCCAGACAACCACAACCACAGCAGCATCGACATCCACTACAACGAGCGATTTCATTTCACGAAACCCACGAGTATCCAGGAGGAGTATAAGGAAAGCCTAGTAAAAGGTGGGTAAAATGCACATGTGATTCAGCTCGGTACGCGATCGCGTTCGCACAGTCATCGCGGTCAACTCGCATTCTGTGGAATTCCGCTTGCGTTCTGCAAGTTCATCGGGGAGAATCACTATCATTAAGCCCCTCCAATTCATTAGAACGCATCATCATCATCATTAGGAATTAATGAGACTCCAGCTCCCGCTCTATTGACGAAATATTTTAATTACCTTTACTCAACTGAGCTTATTTTCCCTCTTTTCGACTAGAACGAGGTTCTCTTCGCGTTGCTGGGATTGATAACGTTTCGAGCAGAAAAATGATTCTCGCTCGGACACGCACGGATTGAGATATTAGGTTAATCAGCAATCGACAGGAGGGATCAGACATTTAGCATCGGATCGTTTTCCCGTGAGGGTGATAATCGTGAAAAAATTGTTGCTACGTGCTTCCCTCCGACCGATTTTTAGCGTTCGCTTTCCCCACCCTCGACGATTATTGCTCAGAAGAAGAACGACGACCAATGCGGACCGCATACTCTCCTCACCGTGTCAAATCCATATAGTTTCTAGCCGTCTCGCCGGCGCGAACAAAGCGTTCTATTCCCCGTGAATCCGTGTCAAGTGGTCAGAATGGATGTATAATATAATAATATCCATTCACTCACGTCCACCATTCGGGAAGGGAATTCAGATTAAACACAATTCAGAGAATATCGCGGAATCGCTCCGAAAGCGTTCATGCAACCGGGACTCTTGTATAGTTCATCGGATAATTGACATCTAACGCACATTTCTCTCGACGGATTGAGCGTCTCATCGCGCGTCACAATCGAATTCTGACCGTGATGTCTTCTCTGCTGCTCGCGGCGATCGCGCGCCTGACACAGTTTCTCCCTTGCGTGCGTCCGAACTACCCGGGTAGTTCGAGCGCGGTTTCGCTCCCGATCCCTCCGACCGCAGACATTTTTCCCCGGGGCATTCGATTGCCAATCATGGAATCATTGTCAAATGTTCATTTCACATCCTCCGGTGCCAGGTCAGAGGTCCATGAAGATGTCGGTAACTTATTTTTTCAACAATTTCTCCCTTGCAGGGCTTCCTTATCCAATCTTGACAGTGCTGGATTACCTCCGTCAAGATAGTGATGGCTTCACTTGGGGACGAGCCTATCGGAAGGCTGGGTTCTGGGCATCTTATTTCTTGTGGTGGTCGTTCGCGCTGTGGCTGTTGTCGAATCTGCTGTTGTGTGCCGTGCCTCGTTATGGAGCTTATCTGTTCTCAGTGACCGGACTTGTGATGCTCTTGTCCGTGTGGATATATGCAGTGCTTCTACCATCGACTCCTCTGATCATCCCGATGGAGAATGGAAGTTTCCTCAAGTTTGACCTCGGCTGGTGCTTCTACATGGTGCTCGTTCTCGGTGAGTCTAGACTTTTGACAAGGAAGGATCCTCTCTACCTAGACTCCTCGATAGAGTCTAGAGGCTAGATCGTAGATAATTCATAAGGCGACCTCTGACTAGATCCCCCGAGTCTTGCTTGAATGGTTCGGCTTCTGAAGAAGTTATTTGTCCTCACCAAAAATGGGATCGTTGCACACGTCACGTCGACAAGCTCGCTAGCTGAGCAGCTTCGAAGCTTTCTCGTCCTTGGTGCGTCTGTGGGTGCCGCAAGTCGCAAGGGATCGCAGCGCTCGACTCAATTATGCATACGCCTTCATTGTGTTTTTGCAACGTTAACTGCATTCCGGACACTATGCTCCCTCCTTGCTTTGGGCGGTCTGATCGAACGCGGTTCGGATCTTCGTTTTTTGACCAAGGTTGGAGCTCGATGGTGCACACCCTGTCCCAAAGCGGTCCAGCTGATCTGGCGACTATACAGGACCTATTGGGGTCTTGTTCGGTTATAGGAAGCCGCGGAGTTGTTTGCCCAGCTCTAAACCCTAAGCTGGATCTCGGATCCGTGCAGCCGCACTGATTTGCAAGGGTGGAGACTGACTCGTTTTGCTTAATGATCATCGCTGACCGCCGCCGTGGGGTTCTTCGCCGGTCAAAAGCATTATGTGCGACGATTCCTCGTACAAGTGAAGGTCGGCGCACCTTCGAAACCGACGAGTTTCGGCGAAGATTGATTTTTTGATGGATAATAATTAGGCAAATCCTCGGAAGGCGGTCAGTAGAGGTCAAAGTGCTCCGCGACGTAGCAACTGACACCAGAGCACGTGTTCACAAAGACAGAATGGCGAAAAATGGTCCAGCTCAATGTCATCTCGGTTCGATTCAGGCTCCATCGAGAAGCTCCTCGGAACGAACAGCAGATATTCAATCGGCTCGCTAGATTATCATGGCAGCTATCTCACGTTCTGACCAACCATTCGAGGGGTGATCGCGTCGGTTCCGTGGAATGTTTTGAGGACGAAGAGCTGCACAGCGATCCCACGCCTCATTTGCATAGGCTTCGAAAGTGCGACAAACAAGCGCAAAGTGCTCGAAGCAAACGATGGTCACTGTCGTGTTGGAATCCGCCAATATTGACCTTCGATTCGTCGATGGTTTCTGTGAGGCTCTACCAGCGTCCCGGAGAATGAGGAGCGCCAGGTGTACCCATCCTGAATCTGTGTATACACTACGAGTCCGATGCCTCGAGATTGGTTCGAGACAGTAACCTTCGCTATTTCCTACCCGTCTCCCCGCCAAGGCCACTGAACTAAATATTAGCAAGCGCTGAACTAGTCGATCAAAGAGTCTCGCTCCGAATTCTTCCAGCCTATTGTCCCGCTCGACGTCTGAACCGGGTGAATGAGTATCAGAATCGGGAGAGAAACGGAGCGTAGAAGATGAAGAAAAATTTCCCGGTGGACCTTTCGCAGGGTGGAATCGAGGGAGCGTTTCAGATTTTATTCCGCATTCCACGACATTTGGCTTCGTAGCCATCGCGATTCGCAGCCTGGTCCATGGGGTAATGGCGGCTGTCATCAGGATTTTCTGTACCGCACCTCTGAGTGAGCGTGATCAGATGATCATTCTTGGGTAGCTTTATCTGCCTTCCTCTTGAGCGTTCTGGGAAAAGTGGTACCTTTGACTCGACACCGGCAATAATATTTGGATAGATTCGCGAGATTCGCGTTGGGATGAGTGTCCACAGAAAATCAAGCTAGCTTTTATCGCAGGATATTTCAAAGGACATTTTTCTCGATGAATTCCTCGAGATGTTCGTTGCTCTTATGGGGACGGGAAGAGAGGTCAAACGGAAATAACTGCCCACGCGTTGTAGACAAGCGACACGAGAACCCGAAATTCCCTGATCGAATCAATGCCTGCTCTTGCCCACAAATATGTACATGAAGTCGACCTGCCCAGAAGACTTGTGCATCCCGTTGTTCGTCGGAGGTAGGAGCCCAGCGAAACGAACCTAGAGTTCTTCGACGATCAGTCAGTCAGTCAATCAATGGTCAATCTTTCAATGAAAACGCCGATATTGCTCTGAGTATCTGAAGCCACGAAGAGCTTAGTGCTCGGTGTGGAGGAATGAAGATCAGATGTCCGAATCGACATCATGCGCCCTACTCCATCCCGAATTAGGCGAATCCACGGCTAGAATGAGTCGGTGGCTACTTTAATGTTATTTTTTTGGGTCACTGTCGGCGTCGCCGGCTTCATCTTAGTGGCTTCTCGGACCTTTGCGAGCGGTGATTCGATCACTGCTACTCGAATATTATCACTCAACACGGTTATGTGGACCGGACCGGGTGGTCTCGTTACCAATGGTTATACACTGACGCCTCGGTAGCCAGAGAATGGTAGCCGATGAGCGAGAAATGGTGAGAAAAACGTAGCCGGAGAAGAGTGGGAACCCGCTTCTCCATTCTGCCGGCGCGGCGCAGGGAAACGAAATTACTATCATGTTATACGTCAAATCAGACCGCACGTCTATAAGCGACCATCGGATCGAGTTCGGAGCGGGGAATATATAACGAAGACAGGGAAAATCGCCATTCGGATCGAGAGAATACACTCGGTTCCCCCCAGTTCTGTTTTCAATGAACTCACGGAACGGAACGCGTAGAAGCATCCGAATCTAGGCTTGATTCTCCGTCTGCTCTTGGCGAGATCCCTCTTTGTGCGCGACGGCACTGCTGTAGCTCAACGAAGAAAAAAAACTTTTTCTGAAATCTCTCTCAGACGCAGCGGAGCGTCACGAAGAACTCCGAGAGCTCAGTTCCCTGTGGCACATGCCATTTCAAGTCGAGAACTTTTTGAAATTGCGCTCCCCTTGAACCTGACTGCTCGTGTGATCATAGCCACGCGGGTATAAGTGTCATTGTTTTCACATTTTTGGGCCGGCTTCATGACGAACAAGTGCAGTTGAGCTTCATGAACACCGCGGGCGTTCTAGGACTTCTGATCTTCGTGACGATATAACTTCGTACATAGACTATAAATTCATTGTTCGAGCGGAGCCGCATCTTCGTTGACGGGGCTGGGCAGAAGCCAGGAGTTTTTCTACATCTGAGAATGTGCTCCGCTCGGCTTCAACGGGTTGGGAATCTAGAAGCTCGCAGAAGCCGGGCCATCAAGATTCATTCCGCTCATCTCTCAACGAAATTGCACCTTATCCATCTGGATGAAATACCCTTCCGGAGGCATGCGATGTACACGAGTCCGACACTGACGATGCTGGGGGCAGAAGAATACGCGGAACTCGCCAAGGTTGGCTGTAATTGTTTGTGGCTCAATCTGTCCTGCCAATGTCGATTGTTATTGTATGATTTTCCAACCACGATCGAGTACCGAGCAGAAGTTGGTGAGTTCATCATGGGAGTTCCTGTGTGTCTCGGGGAATTCTTGAAAAAAAAATGGTATTTTCCTTGTCGGAGGGCTGGAATCCTTCATCGGCTGTTTTTTCATCCGTGAGGATGAGCCACTCTTCCAAGGAAACATTAGGAAAACATGAAACACAATCGTTGCGGAACTGCATCGGAAGCGGGGAGAATGTTTCCAGCGTCTGCGGCGGAACGACCGCAGTGACAATAACGGGTTGACTATTTGGGTTGACATGGGGTGGGCGGATGCCGGAAGACGGCGGGCTTCGAACCGTGAAGTTCGATTTTGGATTAAACGACCGCGGATCTGGAAAGCCTCCCGACGGCATCAAGAGCTGGAAGGAGCAGTTGTACGGCTTCTCGTCCGACTGGATGGCTTCCGTTTACTAGATCAAACTCGCTTGGAGAACACTCCATTCGGCCCTCCGGGAGTTGTTATCCCTCAGCCGACGGTGGAGGAACTGCTTCTAGAACTTATCGCTCATCGGATCGAGCACACGGCTCGCATTGTTACTATCGCTGTACAGAAAATCGATCCTTATCATCCGATATATCTCATTCGGACGCACGGAAAGCCGGGGTTTCCACTCGCCGCAGCGTCGGACTGAAACCATTTCCTCCTACCACGATGGAAACACAGGAAGAACAGATGCAGAGTATTATATCTGAATTCCTTGACGAGTTTTGATTGAGAATGCGGGCTACGTTGGACATTCTTTCTTCCTCAAGCAAGTGACGAAATCTGCGTCTGGTCGTCGGTTCGGTCCGAGAGAAATCGGTGAATCAGAACGACGCAGAACAGATTTAGCAAATATTTTCTGTGCTCCGTCGCTATGGATCGATGGAAAGAACCCCTCAGGAAGTTGTCTCTGACCTAACAGGAAGCGCTGAAAAACGTGCCACCGGCTAAAAACCAATGCCCCGGGTCAGTCTGGTGAAGCATGGCAAGGTCGTCGCCGCACGCCTCTCTTTGGTGGACGGGACGACGACCACGATCTGAATGATGCCGATTTGATTCGAGAAAGACCTCTATCCAGGCAAGATGAGTGAAATCGAACGTCTCAATCTAGATGAGGGATATTCGACGACTCCGGCAACACTACATTCCCGGAGAAATCATTCGCATTGAGGGCCACTGGTGCTCCAGAGTGTCATGTTCCCCATGCGCTGAAGATGTGACGGGATTCCTCGAAGTCAGGGAATCCAATGACCACAGTTTCGGGATCCGCCTACATATCTGACACAAGCAGAAGCCAGCGTCGGATCACTCTCGTTGGTTTGGTGATTTTGAGACCGGAGTTGCTTCCGTTGCCAGGTTATTCTTCCGTCGAATCATTCTCTATGGATTCCGCTATCGAATCGGAAGTTTCAATCTATTCGGTCCGAAGCCGGCAATGCGTGAAGAAGGTCAAGAGAGTCCTGCAATTCCTCTGGAGGATTCCGTCTCGATCTCGTGAGACCTCTCGGCGACCGATCCGTCTATCATTCATGTCCCGCCGATGATGAGGCGAGAAACGATTTGGAATTCATTGTCCCGGTGTGTGTGTTATTGGAATCATTCTTGTTTGTTCCTCGACAGAGTAGACAAGGGACATGAAAATTATCTGTTTGCTTATCGAATGATGGCATCTAAAGATTCCTGCTCGTGATTTGACATCCCACAAGCCTAATTGGCACGCCCGATATCTCTATTTGGAGCGCCTCGTACAAGAGAGTCCTTGAGCTCTGAGATTAGCGACGAACAGCACCGCACGAACACGAGTATTCGGCTTCTCGATGACTGTCGTAATCGGCATTTCGCTCCGCTCCATACACCGCCGCTGATGATGGCGAAGACAGCGGCGCGGGAGCGATTTCATCGATAAATAGAAACCAAGCCAAGAACTCTATTACCAACCGACATCACTCACACAATAATCACAATAATAGACGAATGCTCGCACCGAAAGCGTACAGAATACCGAACGCCCAAGCGAGCGAACGAGTTGAACGAGCAGATCTTTCGCCCGGACAGAAGTCTCGTACTATGAAGTCGAATCGTTTCGAAATGGCTTCATCAAGCCCGTTCGCTTGATACGTCGCGTCGGAATAAAAGTGCAGTCACACGTGGGGATATTTCTCAATCTTCCTCTAGAGTCGATATAAGTTCCCGCCGAAGTTTACCGCAAGAATCTCGCTCGGGACGGAGCGTGTTTCCGCTCCTCACTTGATGCGAGAATTCCTCGGACACTATTCCATCATTCTTCCGTGACAAGGTCCGGCTGAACCAATCGAATCAATGACTATCCGAAGCGAAGGAGGTCAAAGGAATCGTAACACGACAGGATTATTGTCGTGGAAGACCCATGATGGCTCGCGAAGCAGATGAACTCGATAACCTTCCACATCGGAGAGTGACGGTGCAGTGCGCGAGGTCTTGTGTAATTTCGGAGAAATCCGCCGCGATGCGGCAGGGATCCTAGACGACCGATAAAGTCTCGGATGTCTCCTTTGCGGACCATCTGTCACAGAAATGGAATCATAAGATTTGAAGTTGTCGATCGATTGAAATGATGTAATCCCGTTCAACGATTCGACCCACCTCTGCCGGCGCCGGTAGTGCTTCTTTCCGACTGGATCTTTGTGTGTTTCTGTGGAATTCGTTCGCTTCCAAGACCTGCTGCTGCCGCCGCCGCCGCTTCTGGCAAATGACTAAAAATAGCAGAGATCCTACCAAGTCGACGTTGGCTGTTCCGCCGGTCCGTCCGTCAGTCGGTTTGTCTCTGGGTCTTGCTTGCTGCTTGCCACAGCGTGCGCAAGGCCACCGAGCGACCTTGATCGTAAAAACCCTCGCCAAATGCCAACTGTTCTGGTTCCGCTCCGTGCCGTGTGCGGCGCTACTACCGACACTTCCGGATCCGTCCGCAGCCGCTGTGGTTTCTGCACCGGCTGCAGCCGCGGCAGCCATGGTACGAAAGCCGCAGACAGCGGTCCTTAAGAGACAGTTGCGTAACCGGGACCTCCTCTTCGACAGCGTCTTCTTCTCTCGCATCATGTAGATTCACAGAAACCCTAATTGACACTCACGAAGAGTGCAACACACGAAAACAACGGCTGGGAGGAAAAAACAACGAACAAACAAACACTCTTACGAAAAAAAGAGGGCGCCTGCGTATCCTCTTCGTGAAGACCGACATGGACTCATTGACGCGGCGATCTAGAAAGTAAAGCCTAAGCCTCGATGATTCGATCTTTCAGGGTGCGTCGCCTTCGTCCTTGGTACTGGCATGGCCATCGTGGACACTCTGTGGCCGTCGAAATTCTCAACGATACTCGAAGTCGATTACGACACACCGTATAGGTGAGTTCGTGTTCTTCCTTCCGAAGCGTTGCCCCGAGCTCAAGGCAATTAATGAGAGCAACGAGTCGTGACGTGATCTTGTCTAATGCCCTTCTAGGTACTTTGTCGCTCAAGGATATTCGAACTCACGATGCCCTTCGCTGGTTCCAACTCCACACTCAACGATCACGGCAAGAACGTCAAAAGGTCAACAGCAACTCTTCAAGGTACTGCAGGTGCTTGTCCATGCTCGGTCCCGTCCCAGTGCTAAGTAAACCGCATGTTGTTCGTTCCCACTAATGAGTTTCTTTGCAAATCTAGTTTACGGTCTGAATGCGACTAATAACTCGTAGAATGGACGTGTTGGATGCTCTGGAAGTTGATGATTCAGTTGGGGGCGAGTACCCTCTTCTCTTGAAAATTCTATCCCGAAGCATGAACACGCACAGAGATCGTGCGCATCGGTCGTCGCAGGGTCATCGGCATTAAATATGGTGGTTATGTGCTTTTTTGAAAAGTTTTATGTTCTCTCATGCTCGATAACTTTCCTGCTCGGGCATGTTTTCCTTCAGTCACGCAATCGCTTTGCCCAACGATCTCCAGAATCTTCATATTCCACATTATTCGTTCGGGCTTCGGTGCTTTTTACGCTGTTTGTTTGTTTCTACCGATAATTGAACTCACAGCTCGGAGTACGCGTGTTCTCTGGAGGATTCTTCGAACTGTGCGATTCCCGTGTAACAACCTCATCAAGTGGTCCGCATTCGGGGAGATTCAGTCACCGATCGGGAATGCTTGAAACTGATGGGATGGCTTTTTTTTCGTCCATTGCAGAAACTAGAAGACGAGCTCTCCGATATGTCGCGATCTGATTACGGAGACGACAACAGCGAATTCGGGGGCCGCGACAACGCAGCCTACGATGGATCTTCGGAGCGGATCGAAGTTGAGAAGAGCGAGGAAGTTCTAGACGACATCCACGAGGAATTCGAGATGGTCGACGGCAAGAGAGCGATAACGCTGCAGGTAATCCGTCGACTCCGATAGTACGAACCAGACTCCAAGGGGGAGTCTCGAATCAAGTGTACTTAAAGTCTTCACATCATTCCGGGCATGGTTCGCCTCCGAGAATTCCGGCGCATGGTGCGGACCGGGACGGCTCCCTTCCACTCCCTGCGGTGGGATCGCAACCGAGACCAGAATATCGCTTCTGGAAAGAACATCGTTCAGAGATCCGTCGATGATGAACATCGACAAACATCGATTGGTGCTAGAGGTGTATTTCCCACAATCGATTCTTTTATTCTGGTCGACGATCAGCACAAGGTCGATCAACGATGCTTCATACCTCTGTGCCCATTTGCGAAATTGTAATGAAGCGAGCAGGCCAGCCGGAATCCCCGATACATACGGCAGCGTCAAATAAATAATCAATTGCAGTTTTCTCCCTATGTAAGACCCGCGCCTCCGAAGGATTGCCCCGGGCTGTCAGCAATCCGGCGCTCGCATTTCGATGACAATTCAGAGCAGCGCGAGGGGGGCGTAAAATCCGTCCATTAAAATTGAGGTCGCTACGGAGACCGTGCGGAAAATGGCGCTGGTTTCATCGGCATTTTTGTCGCTGTCAGCAATCCAGCTGCTTAAAGTGTTGTTTCCGTCATGATCGTATCTTTCGATTCTATCGGCTGGCTGTAACGTTCGAGGTGTTTTTCCTCCACCCTCCTCCACGAATCACCGCTGATTCCCTCAGGGAGTGAAATTCTGCTTCAAGTTCCGAAATCTTCGGCCGATCGATTTATTTGTAAAACTTATCACCATACTCCCAAGTCGTGGCTTTCAAACTCGTTATCGGGATCGAAATTCTGTATCCGTAGGAATCTTAATTAGGATCTAAATACGTCTGGATTCGTTTTCGCGGAAGCGAGTCAGGCTTTTGAAAACTACTCCGCTGAGATCTCTTGCTTCTCGGAGACGAAATTCTTTCGCGAGGATTTCTTCCCATCCCGCAAAGATTCTGCGAAATTAGTTTCTGAAGGATTTTACGGAGACAGTGAAATGATAATATTCGAGGCTTCGCTGCCGCAGCGGCTTGATATTGATCGGCGTTTGAGAGAAGACAAGAGCTTGCTTTTTTCACAGTTCACTTGGTCTTCAAGGTGTTCCATTGTCAGTAGCCGCTGACCGTTACGATGCCGGACTTCTGCGGAAGATTGTCTCATAGTGAGTGATGCCACACCGATCCCTCCGCTTCTGTGCCGAGTTCCGCAATATTTCAGACGATGACACGAAGAGATACTGGGTACTGTCTCCGTCGTCGACAAGAACACCGTCGACGATGCGATGACAGAAGGCCTGGCGGGATGGATTGCATCACTGAAGTCCGATGAAGTGTCTCGTCAGGGGAAAATTTTTCTTTCTTCCAGACACACCCTAGAATGCCCGCGGGGATAACGACGGCGCAAGACACACACGCTTGCTTTCTCAGTTAGACAAAGAGAAGGCTAACACGAAAGTTTCGGTGTGAGGATTGATCGGAGTTTAAGCACGGAATTTCTCACCTGCAGGATTTCGGGAAGTTCGCAAACCGAATGGCCAACGCCGCCAAGCACAAGCCATTCGGCAGCGTTGTCAATCGTCGCCAATCCTATGGGGGCGCTGCAGCAGCTCAATTCCAGCACAACCACGTCCAGCCGTCAATGAGTCTAGTGCAGAAAGACAACGGCACGACGACGATTCAGATCAGCCACACACTGTCGGGTAAAGAAAATTCCGATATCGACGTTGAAAATATTGTTGAACAAGATGCTTTACAAAGGGACGACCCATCGACGCTTGACCAGACCAGCAGCACCGAGAGCACTCGGTCTCTATCGAGCACCGACAGCCTTGGTGACGACAGTCACCCTCGAGATTCGGTTGACCTTCGGGTCGAACACCCTTAAGGTGACTGCTCCTTGCATGGCTTTATTTTCCCCTCGTCCCCAATCCCTTCTTCAGAGGTGCTCTTGCCGGGACTAGTCGTCTTGATTTCCCATCCTCGATCTCTCATCACTAACTATCCTCTCCCGCCTGCTCCTCCCTGATCATTCCTTGAACTCCACTGGGTTTCCCCCAGCCCTACGAGTTCTCAAGCTCCAACCGCCCCCCCCGTTCCCGCTTCTCTTGGGCTTCCCCCTCCGAGATTCCGCTGGGAGAAGGCCCGGTTCCCTCGTTCTGAATCCCTCTTCCCTTCCCCTCTTTCGCTCGCATGTGATTCCACTTTCGTCCGAATAAAACGTCAGACGTCCCAATGAATGTTGACTCACTCCCTCCCCGATAAGAGAGAGTTTGTGGGTCTTGTACTGGGAGCATATTTCCCTAACGCAAAACCTTCGTCATCCCCCACCCGAGAATGGATCCCCCTTACCGCTCAGAGCTGATATTGGCTTGGAATTAACGTACTCTTACCATTATTGCAGTATCAGAGAAGTTATGAAACTGAATCGACTTGTTCCCTCACGGGAGGAAAGACCGGAAGAGTAGTCGACGTCGAGAGGTAGCCACAGGAACTCAAAGATACAGTCAAACTTACGGAAGAGAAGTCCGGGAGTGGGAGTACGGTACTTCGAAACCAAGCGATTGTGATACCTAAGCGACTCCAGGAGTCTCCCTAGCCATAGATAGAAGTTTTCAAGAAGGCGTTAATAGCAACTCCGGAACGAGAATCCCTGGAGCGAGTTTTGGGACTCGATGAGCAGCGGAAAGATGACCGAAGAGCTTGCTCACTGTGCTCGGACCCAAAAATGTCTCCCTATCCAGGGAATCGGTAGAGGTTCATCCAGGGGCATTTCCTGCTGGACGGGCCAACTTGAATCTGCGCGACGACTGAGGACTCGATCCTCCTTCGAAACCGGGCGACGTGTGTTACCGTCGATATGACGAAGACGAAGGATTGCAACAACAAAGAGCCGCGAGCGGCCGGATTGTAAATACGATCTAGTCAAATAGATTTAGCTTAGAATAAGATGCCACAGGTTCTTCGCACCTTTCCAAGTCGGAATTCAGGTTCAGATCCCCGTGCGTCGGGACACTATGAGCGGAGCTCACCCATAGAGGGACTTCGGAGTCCGTAAAAACGCGTTTGTTTGCGAGATTTTCCTTCTGGATTATTCTTCAAGGATTCATTTCGGTAATTCTCCGTCATCGAGCATTCGTGCTCGTCGCGTGCTTGAGCTTACGAAGTTCTTGGCTGCGGAGTCTCCGCACCCACTTGCAAGGGCTGAGTCGCTATGCCTGACGCCAAACGAGAACTGATTGAATATTTATTCTAACTTATTCCCTGAGCAGAGTGAACAGACCAAATTCGAAGAGCTGCATGAAGTAGTATCTGGATGAGTTCCATTGTGGGAGCTCATGCTTGGAATAGAATAGTCAACTCCGAACCGAAATGCTCAAACACCCGTCCATTGGAAATTGTGTTGGAGAATTTTACGAAAAGCAAAACAATGATGATCGGTCAAGTCGTAGACGTAGCGAATCGGTACAATTTTTTTGAGAGGAGAGTGTCATTGGCCAAAAGGGAAATTCAAGGCTGGATTCGGAAGAGCGATAATTGGTATGGACCGGCGAACACCCGTTGTTTTTTGTTTGAATAAATTTTATTTATTTCACGCGGAACGAGCTCGTCATCTTTCTTGGATTTGGGGACGTTCCCGAAATACTATTGGAAGCCTCTCAAGTGAACAATAAGACCTCGAGGGATTTTCCCTCCTTCCTTGGGAAGCGTGTTTCCCGAGTATCTCAATCGACTCTCGACTCGCTTCAAGAGAGAATTTCGCCTACAGAGGGGATCACAGATGGCTTGGCAAAGCCGAGAATTCTTTGGTTTCCAGACACGAGTTTGCATCCACTACCCGATCAATCCTGCTATGAGCGCCAGTGTTGCTCCATGTTCCCCGGGTGCTATCCTTGATACATTTCGACTCTGATCTGAGTCCGATTCCTGAGCTCGTACTCTCCGCTCCATCTAACGTGTGCTGCTTTCCGAGTAGGCTGAGTAAAGGTGCGAAACGCACTTCGTCACCGTGGTCATGAAGCGGACCCAGTTGTCGTGGAGTTTTGGTTCACTGGAAGATGAAATAAAATCACGGGTGAATAGGAGGGACGAAGAGTCGGACTTGATTCAGGGCTCAGTGAGAGATCCAGAGCGACATATTCCGCAGCTCACCACAGAAAGGCGCTCTGTCGAGGGGCTTTGGTGAGAGCTTCGAGGAACGACGACACATCACTCAAACTCCAGTGATAATTCTTCATTGGATCGACAATCTGCAAGAAGAACCGCTCAGTCTATGCCGTCAGGATTTACGTACCTTTATGTCTCTGTGGAACCGAATTCCGGACCCCTCACCTTTTCTACGCAATCGAGGAAAAAATCTCGGAGCTCTTTGGTGTGATTCAGGTTGTACGCCATGCTCACCAGAACCCGGAGGTAGTTCTTGAGATTCTGCTCCAAGTCGATCAAAGCGTGTTTCGACAGTGAACTCCGAACAAGAGCAACCGTGTGGTCTCTAACCCTGTCTATGAAGTCTCGCTCCGTGACTATTTTGCAGTCACGGAGGAAAACGACGAACTCACGGTCTAGGTCGAGGCAGGACTCTTCGTGCGCACAATCTGGAAGAGGATTCGATCTCCATTCTAATACCTGAAGATCGTAGCCTGTCGACCGCGCTATCCGGCACACAAGGACCGATGCTTTTGAATACTCCAATGATTTTTCCCGACTCACTGGGAGTGCGACATGTCCAGTTGTCGAGCATGAAGACAGCACAGGTTATAAAATCCTCCAATGAAAGGAATGACAATTTTTTTTCGTTGCCTCCATACGATGGTGTGTCATGAATGATATGGCTGCGTAATCCTGAACGAGACCGAAGGGGAGCAAAAATCTCGAGCGGATGATATTCACCACTGAACCCTGGGTTTCCTCCACCTTGAATAAATACAGCAGTATGTACATATGCACATATTTCGGGAGACATCATCGGATCCGACTCTACGATTCGGCGTGAAGAAGATGGAGGATATCGAACTTCTATTCACCCGGAGTATAACACGACAAAGGCGCTCGAGATTGCGTCAGTTCGTAACATGGATATAAGGGAGAAGAAGCGATGATCCCCTACATACAGTTGCCTAGATTGCTGCGCCTGGCCGCACACTATTTACTATCTACTCACCATTTTGTATACACGTTTGATGTTGTCGAACTGTCGTCGACATGACTTCAGATCAATGAGTGTTTTTTCGTGAACCTCGTCAAGATCCTTACGGTTTCTTGAAGACAGCTTCTTACCCAAGATTTCGCGCACCACACTGGCGTCATATTGGTAATAGGATTCGATCAGAAGGCGTTTGTCATCTTCGGAAGAACGGAAATAACATGAGCAGGGACAGGAGATGATGCTGATCGGAAAGAGGAGAAATTGAAGTATTCGCTCACCATTATTAATCTGGACGAGAAACTGGTCTTCAAGTCTCAAGGGAGCGTGGAGGTATTTTTCGATGTGACAAAAACCGCGGAAATGATCTTCCACATCCGCAGTCAGTAAATCCAGAGGGATCGGGAACGAGGCCGACGGACCGGACGCTGTGGTGTCCTGGTGGAGTATGCGCGCAGCATCACTCACTGCGAGAGGACCAACAATTATTTCAGTGATCCAGAGCTCCTGTTTAAACGTTGGCCCCGAGCTTACATGCAGTCATTGGAGGCGATCGTTTAGATTCTAGAACCGATCCCGTATAAATTCAATAGATTGGAGAACCTTCTTTGGAGTTTTCGACTAATGCTCTGCAGACGCTTAGCAAGCTTCCGACAACTGACCTGTCAGTCCATCTAGCCAAAGTCTGAGCACTTCCTTATCGACGTAGAAGTGGTTGTAGAGACCCACATCGACCTCGAGCTCCAGCTCGTTTAAGCTGCTGTGCGGAATTTTGGTGTGTGGTTGATCAACCTGCCGACAAAGCTCTCGGATTGATAATGAAGTGAGCACACTTTCCCGCAACCTTTTGATATTCTGTGGTGCTCTTAATCTGTTGGCGAGCCTCGAGCGATATCGGAGAACTAGGAGAACGCTCCTGTAGGGAGGAAGCCGATAACTCGGATATCAAGGGGCCCGATAACTCGGATATCAAGGAGCCCTTTCCGAAGTCCGAGAGCTCACTACTTACTTTCGGTTGAAGCCAAGTTGCTGAGCAGGTGGCTGAACGCTACCGTGGTACCGTAAGAGGAATTCGTCGATGGCGCGCGGACGGAAAATTTATCCCTGTCAATTCGCTGCCTCAGCTGATCAAGGTATCGTTCCGTCGTTTAGCGAGGCCGGCAAACGGCGCTCGGTTCGACTGCGGCGCGCCGTCAAGAGAAACCTCCCACGCTCTCTGTTGAGGGTATGATACGGCATACTGCCTAATCGAGGGGAACAGATGGACGTGACATACACTGTAAAGCTTCATCGTGATGGATATAATCTCCGGAACATCCGCGCCAGCCTCGGCACGGTGCCAGTCTATGTCACTCATTCGGAGAAGTCCTCTCAAACGAAGCGCATCAAGACACATTTCAGGAACGGAGGCTATATCGACGCACCATCCGAGATGAATGATATGAATGTTGCCGAACTGGCCCCTGGGATGGGCTGATCTCCTCATTAACGCGTCCGATAATCCCGTGTGTTTCCCATATTATTTCCAGCTATGCTACAAAGAGAGTAGTGCTGATTGCCTCCGATGAGACTTGGCGACCCACTTAACCCAGAATCCGACCGGCAGAAATTCAGGTAATAGAAAACCGCTAGGAATCCACTGCCGGTGAAAATGCAGTACAGACATACTCGATATGTATATATTACGTACGTTATGATTGAATTCCTCTCATCAGAGACTTTATTTCGCTCTTGTTTCGCAGATCACACATGAAAATCTCTTAGGAAAGGTCTTATACACAAAGAAATATGCGTTGTGCTCGATCGACAGTAATCGAGTGTGTCGACTTGTGACCCTTGTGATAAATTGGTTATGAACTTATGAGGCTACCCGAGCGCCCCGGGACGGTCTCTATGCACAGAATGAGAACATCTTGACATGCTGAGATTCTTTCTTGGATTCCCTTGAGACAGTATCACTGGAGCTTCCTTCGACATCCCTCAATTGTATCTCGCGTTACGCTCAGTTTCGATAAGGCATTCGCGTACCAGAATACGCGCGTGCACGATCCCCCGCTTCAAACGCTCGATCGCACTCCGACTGCCGGCGTATGTCGGCCGGATCTCTCGGTTGATCTCCTCGAGAACGGCCAGCAGCTGGGCGTACTTTGATTTCCCGGCGTATTGTTGTTGGGTGGCCAGAAGTTGGGCGGCGAGCATCGGGTCTAGCATGGCACCCACGGCGGGGGAATCTGTTGATCGGGCATCCTCCTCCATGATTCACTCCTGAGGGAGGCAGAGAGAGAAGGTTGATAAATGGAAACGGTGGTAGCATGATTCTATGATGAGCGACCCAGATAGTTAGACAAATCAGATTGTCGCTATCGATCGACCACGATTTCGCATCGGTCAGACGCTGATTTCTCTGATCCAGGCAATCATTGAACTCGTCATAAGTTTGATCAATCTGGACCTATGAAGGCTGCGAAATTCGGGAGGACTTGGAAGCTCACTTCAATTATTCGGCGAACGTTCCGGGTGACGTTTGTGTGGTTCTCGAGACACCGGATGAAGACTCCGTGGGGGAAAGCACCTAGGATTTCCGATTTGAGATGACGCTCACAGATCAGACTTCTGTTGGCGAATTAGCGCCGAACTGTCTCACGGTTTCGAGTCAAATTCGGCCTGCGACGGCGACTCGGCTTGACTCAAGCTGCTTGAGCAGCTACTGTCATTATTCATCTCATGATGATGATGATCATCATCATCCCCTCAAACCTCCTCCTCTTCTGTTTTTCGTTCTGAGCTGAAAATCAAAATAGAAGGTTGGCTGGCCGGCCGAGGTCCGTGGCGGGTCTTTAAGTGGACGACAGGTGTGGACGATACGATTATCGCAGCATCGACGGGCCGTCTCGAAAAAAATTCCGTGTACTTCTCCTTTGGAGCGACATTTGTGCTGCCGGTGGCTCCTGCTCGCAGTTCTATGCGAAACCGAAGAATTTCCCCAAGAAATATTCTTCACCCACTCCTCGTTAAGGGCCTCCCGGTGCTCGGCTCGTAAACACAGGGATGGGACGATGCGCCTCTCCCCGATGATCATGGATCCCCGCGGGCGGCAGAACAAGTCGATTCAAAAATTGTGATTGTGGAAATATTTTCAAGTGATTGTGTTGGTCTCGATCTTTTCACTGTCCCATCCCCGCTCGTTATTGTGGGGTGGGGATGCCAGTCTCGATTCATCCGAAGACAAGGAGTCGTGCTTCAAGATGTCAACTTCAGTCCGGTGAGCCGAAGACCGTTATTTAGGGACGAAACTCATGCGGTTCCATGATCCTGAAACGCAGGACGCGGGCTAGGGGGCCCCAGCCCTGGGCTGCATTCCCATCAGGCAAGGAAGGATGAAGAAGGAGGATCCCGGAGCCTTAATCCTCGTGTGGATCGACTCGAGCACCTCCACTTTCTGACGGCCCGCCATCATTTCTGTCAGCTGTGCTCTTTCGGACAGAAGTTTCCAACGGAAGCGATGTATAGTGTAGAGCATCTTGTGAATATATGAGACTGGCCCTGACCAGGAACTTTTTTCAAGGTTGGAAAATGAACAGTTGGGTTCACATCATTTCGACGCCATCCGTGAGAGGGATGAAGCTCAGGCCCTGGAAGAAGTGCGCTTGAAGGAGCGCGAATTGGAACAGGAGGCCGTCCACGCATTCGACGATCTACTCGACGCTTCCGGAAGTGAAGCGAGCTCCTATTATAAACCCCCGAATTCGCAGCAAGAAAACGGTACCGATCTATGGATTCCATCTCTTATTCTCTGAAGTCCCAGTAGTTCTTGATCGAATCTTACGAGCAAATGGATCACTCCGAAATTCAAGAGGTCCCGGTATCGTTCGGTCCAAGACGGATGTGTATACTCGTTCCAGGAAATGTGCCCGAAGAAATTTACCTACAGAGCCAGAAGGAGCTGGAGAAGCTCCGGAACGAATACGATCGTTTACGAGCTGAGAACGGAGCTCTACGAACGAACTTTGATTCGATGGTGCGGGAAAAGTTGAAGCTAGAGGAGAAGTTGGAAAAGTCTGAGGTGAGTCCCCCCATATGCTACATCTCACAATCAGAGAAATCTAGCGAATTCTTACCTCCGGGAAAAAAATCGATAGGGCTCTTCCCTCTCTCCGCTCGGATTTGGACTTTGAGCTTTCGGTATGGAATCTCGGCTGTGCCCGAACAAAGGGCGAGTTCATCGAGGGAAATTCGTTCCGAAGCAATAACAGGGTTCATCCCTGTTCTCTCAACCCAATTTGTACTTTCAAGGTCCGTATGAACCTCTTAGAACAGGAAATAGGAGAATTGTCGGATGCTCAAACCGTTCATCGGGTCAAAGACCAGTATGAGACGATAATCGGTGAGTAAGAGGCGGCGCAGAGACCATTCAATGTCCTGCTCAATTTCTGGACATTGATGGCTCGCCCAAAGTTACTCCGTCATGATTCATGTTATTCGTATGTTTTGTCGCGGAGCACTCCCAACCTACGAGATCGGTATCCACAGAGAAACTGAAGAGCTCCTTCCACCATGAGAAAGGCGAGATCCTTGTTCAACTAAACAAATTCAAGGAGGAAGCTCTCTTAGCTCGGAATCATATCTGCTCGACGTCAGAGGTCAGTGTTCTGGCGGATGGAATGCACTTTTTTGCTCGACCTGTCGCCGACAGAATTTATATCGAACGATCCCTCACAGGCGGGCGACGATCGAAGGAGAGCCTTGGAATCGGAAGTTGAAAGGTTGAGGATTAACGTGGGAGAGCTCCAAGAGAAGGAATTGCAGCTGCAGCTCATGGTCAAGGAGCAATCGATGTTGCTCAAAGAAAACGACCTCCCCGAAGAGTTTGACGGCAATTTAGCAAGACTCTGCGATCTGCTGGACATCGGAGAAAAGGTGAGATCATCCGAGCGGTGCGAACTCAGTGACGGTGAGAACGCTGTGGAATCTGGATCAACATCGCGTTTTTTCCAGGCTTCGTCACTGAATTGTGCGGTGACAGAGTGTTGCGATGCAGTCGTGGAACTGAAACACCGGATCAAGGAGCTCGATTCCGATGTCGCGACGTCTACGAGGCTTTTCCAGGAACTTCAGATCGCAGCCAGAGTACTCGAGAAGGAGAACCTGCAATTGAAGGTCAGTGGGTCGAGCGATGAGTCCCGCTCCGTGAGGTTCGAAAGAAATTCCTACGAGACCGAGGAACGGAAACTCTGATCAAGCAGTGAATGGATCGACGGTCAGAGTCGGACTGACATGAAACTGTCTTATTCACTGTCTAATTGTCGCGCCGTATCCGTGCTACAGGAGAAGCTGGAACACAACAGCTCTGATACCGAGAGCCATAGCGAGACGACGCGAGTTGGAACCCTCAAGGGTGCTCTTGAAAAACTGGAAGCGGAGAACCTGCACCTGAAACTGCAAGTGCAAACTCTAGAAGAGAGCAGGGACCGTCTGAAGACTGAAATAAGGAATCGCATCAACGAGGATTCGAAGAATTCCGCTGACTTCAATGGTACGCATGCACGCTCCGCGTCTTCAGTTCACCCATTTCCCCAAACTCGCACAAATGCCCTAGCGGAATCGTAAATGCCTCGGTCGGTGGTTTTGTGAACTTGGGGACAAATTCTTAACTCTTCTGCAGAGCTGTACTCGGAGAAACAACGACTCTTGGTCGATTTACAAAGAGCTCAGGAGTTCAGTTCCGGCTGTCGTCGAGCTCAAGAGATGGCAGAAGAAGTTCTGCGAGAAAAAATCGAAGCATTCGAGGCGGAAAGAGAAAATCTCCGCAGAGAGATCGAGGCAGAGGCCAATCGGAAACTCCAAAATGGTGAGGGACTCCTGCAACGGATTTGCGACGAACCGCCGAGAGTCAGTTCGTTTGTGTCTGCATATCCATGATGAAGAACTCCTTTTTTTGCCTCCAGAGATCAATCGGATGGAGCTCCAGTTTGCGAATGAAGTTTCGCAGCGAGGCGAAATGGGCGATAAGCTGCGCAAGGCGTGCTTGATGATGCTCGAGGAGAGATTGGCGAAGATCTGTCGAGAGAAGGACGCAGAGATCGGAAGGTTGACCAGGAAGTCGCAAGAAGAGGCGGAAATGATGCACGAAAGGTGTGAACTCATAATTCTTGTCCTGATCGTGTCGACGAGACGAACTTTCTGCTCAAAATTCGAGATTCGTAGCCGGGAGATAAGTCGCGCCGATTCTGACTCCATATCCGGCGTGGCGTTCGCTCTTCGCTCTCGTATACACGTCGCTGAGATTCATTTTGGCCGCTCCTCTTGACCGACAAGTCTCAAATCCTCCACGTTCAGCATTGTGTTTTTTCATGGCTGAGCGTCATTCGATGTGGAATAAGATTCGGAAGCACCTACACTTCTACCTTATTCGCATATGTCGTAGCGATCGCTTCCCGGAAAGGCTAGGAACCAACTGGTCAGAATCCTCGGAGCGGTATGTTGATGATATTTCTCGGGTGTTCTCGTCACAGACTCACGGTTCTTCAAGATGAAGTTGAAGAACTCCGTCGAGAAGTTGGGCAAGCCGTTCGGGAGAAATTAGAATTCTCCGAGAAGTTAAATCAGGCCAACGAAGAAATCGAAAATCTCAAGGAAGATGTCACACGGAAACAGGACAAGCTGACGAAGTGAGTTAGCGAATACAAAACCGAGAGAATTTCTAGTTCGATTCCCGTCAGTTCAGGTATGGAATCGACCGGTTGTGAGAGCACCGAGACATGGAATTTCTTGATGCAGGCTGCGCTCTCAACTGGAAGACCTGAAGCTCGATCGAGAATCGAGAGCAGGTCAGCTGGCCGAGCAGGACAAGAGAATGCGACTCCTCGAAAATTTGGTGAAGAGTGGCAAAACTCGGGTGGATCGGGCGAACAAGGAGAAGGAATCGCTCGAGAAGGTAAAACCTCGCCGATCGATGCGAGCCTCGTACGAGAGTAAATCACGTATTCACTTGACGGTGAAACTTGGGAATTGTGCGATTCGGCTACGCATTCCGCGCTCCTCGACGAGATGCCTCCGGCTAATATCTGCGCTCTTCTAGGAATTCAAGAAGAGACTCGATGAGTGCATGCTTGAGCTGAAATCCGCGAACGAGAAGCTGGCTCAGCTCCAGCCAGAGAGTGCTTCGCAGAGTGCGGAGCAACAGAAGAATAATCAAATTCTCGGAGAAACATGCGCCAAACTCGTCGAAGACCTCGAACAAACTCGGCAGAAGCTCAGAGAATCCTCTCTGGAGTCGGAAAACCTCCGCTCCATCCTGAAGCATAAAGTTGGTGTCATGGAGAAAATACGGGAGGATTTGACCGTATTCCAGGTAGGTGAATTTTATCGAGGAGCCTGAGGTTTTAAATCTGTCCCGCATCGATTACGGCTTGGCGTCAAATCGATCGATCTTTCGACAGGGCCAAGGACGGAAGTATGCCGCCGAGCGGCAAACCCTCCTCGATACGATCCATTGCCTCGAAGAAGACATCGAAAGGAAACGGAAAAGGGACATCGAGTTGAGGAATGCGATGGGCTTGATCGCCGAAAAAGTCATCGAACGACTGCAAACGAGACATCGAGTCTTGTGATCGACCTTTCTCGGACCTTGTGCTCGGGAAAGAAGACAATGATTGTGTAATGTCGCATGCCCAACGTGACTCCGGCTACTCCTTGGGGCAAGCCGTATCTTCAGACATCTTGTGGTCGAAAATCTAAGGATCTATGAACGTAGAATACGGCGCCTGTGTGCTTTTATCTGGTAGAGAGAGAAAAGACAAAAATAAATTTGATTTGAGATCGATGAAACGATCATCACGATCACCATCTTGCATCTATTTTTCACTTGCTCATTGCGATGGGTTTCCCGCAGTCAACATCTACATCATGAAAGTCACAACATGAATCTCATCGGTTATCCTCTCGGGTCACACAACTGCAAGATTTCCGTCGTCTAGCCGATTCTCGGCGCTCGGGGCGGATTCTAATGTACCAGACATTTTTCGATTCGCTTTCCAGACCGTCTGCGGAAGAAACACAACGATTACCTGGGATTGGGATTATTGAAAACCTCAAAATGTGATCATTGATCTGAACCAGGAATACCTAATGAAACCGCCGACTCGATCGGTTTCGGGATCTCACCATCGATCCGTCGTACTCTGGTATGTGAAGCTCGACTGTCTCGCCAGCATCATGCAGGAACACGTCTCTGCCGACTAATTCAGTGAAGTCACCCTTGAACTCGAACACCTCGACCTGATGCGATGCCAAGTCGATCGCCCGGAGAATTTCCTCTGAGACCGCCAAGCCTCCGCCGGGAACAGTCGGCGAATCTGTGGAATTTTCGACAGGGAATAGTTATCAGGTCAGTCCTTCCTGAGCTTCCAAGAAAAGAATCAAAAAAAGGGATCCACCTGATTTCCACCGAAATTCTTCAACCTCGGGTGCACCAAGGCTGATAGGGACCTATATCCTACAGAAGAAAAATCTCTCGCGGCCAAATAAGGAAGTATTACCTGACAGCCGAGGCTCGTTGCAGACGAACTCGAGTACTCCGTTCAGCAATCCTAGATCGACGGGGTTCGGGTCGAGGTTCAAAAATGACTCTACTGAAGCCTCCGGCTGAACAGTGCTGAATACAGCCGGGAGAGCTGTTTGATATGCTATGTCATAAAATTGCTGCTCTTGGGGATGGGGAGGGCAATGCATCGGAAGTGGGGCTGGAGCGCCTTGACCAAGCGACATTCTAAACATGAGCTCCGACTCGGCTTCCGTGAGATGAATGGGAACGTACACGGCCACGGGTTTCATGAATTTGTCGCTGCAGCAGAGCGGGGGCAGATCTCCCGCGAGAGAATGCCCGACGCGATCTTTGACAGCAGCTGCGAAACTCTGCAAGTCGGGCGCGCCTCGGGCGATTATGGCGGGCCGTCGCATTTTCGCTTTCGCTAAAGCCGCCTTATGAGAGAAGTTTCGATGATGAGCTCTCCTATGCTGAAGGAGAAGCGATCCAGTGGTGCAACAAAAGCCGCAGAGATCACACACAGACGGAGCGTACACGCCATGGAGCATCGCGTCCCTCGACGCAGGACTCAATCTCGAGATCACCTTCTCGATACGAGTCTTCTCCGGGTGTTTCTTCCGCATGTGGATTTTCAGCCCAACGCGGGTCCGAATTTCAGCCGGACAGAAGAAACAAGCGAAAGGTCCTTCATCGATTCCTGACGTATCCATGCTCCGTTTCCTGGGAAACTTTCGACATTTCGGAGTGAGAGGAATAATGAGGCTCTCGCTACGGGACTGAGATGTTTGCGGACTGCCGAGTTCGACACTCGGTGTTGGAAAAATTGCAGGAAACTAATTTTTCGCGCGTTAGAAATCCTTTGAAACTCACCCCTGATGAGGAATTACTTGTTGTTGAGAGCTGATACGCAATTCAAAGTTGGATGCTCCGACGCGCCAACGATTCTAACGGTTTTTCAGGAACTCATTTGGTTCAAATTGTCTGCTCCTGAATCGGGTCCCCAGAAACTATGCGAACTAAAACTGTGTCCCGGAGTTCAGAAATGACTCCATTCAACGTGAGAGTCCCAATATACTTAGACGCACCACTATCATTGGGACCTCAGATGCACAGCTGCACAAGTTCATAATGACTCCTGCACCTCTCCAGACTTGAGGTGGCAGGACACAATGTGTGTGAATTTTCTGCTGGTGGATTTTTTTTTGGGTGTCGTATACCACTATTCCAACCCAAAATTTTCTAAATCTCTTTCTGTGGCAGCACAAGTCTCTCTCTCGGAGAGGGAAGAGGAAGTGAAGTGTTTCGCGCGTCGAGCACTTCGTGTGCCAAACGTACATTGACGCGGAGACGCCGCTCGTGCTGGAGGTGATCCTCGATTCATCCACTTACATTCTCCCCCTGTATTTGAACATGATCTGAGCGCAATTCGTTTGACGAGACTTACGTGGGGCCCGAACTCTATCTCTGGTCTCTTTCCGACGCACGGAGACTTCTGGGGAGCCTAGGCTGTCTTGTCAGCTGTCCGTAATCTCATTTAGGGCCTTCGGTCCTGTCTCGAACGTCGAAGACGCTCTCCGAAAGGTGCTTTTCAGCGAGGAGTGAGGGAACCAACCTCGCCTCCAAGCCTCGGTCTCCACGCGACCGAATTCGAAGTATTCGATGATGTCGACAAATCTTAGATCGGTCCGTTCCTCAGAACTCCGCTAGAGCTTCAAATGCCCTTCTTTTGCGGGCCCGAAGCTGACTCAAGTGGCCCATGGGTCACGGTCGCTGTATATGTTCGAGGAGGATGATGCGTCGAAGCACTACCTCCGGTGAGAATGATCATTCATCGCCTTGGAATCTAAACACGGGGATCACGGCACTCCTCAAGTTTATTTCACAAACCGAGACCCTTCACATTCAATCGGAGAGGCATGTGCGATTTCATCAAGTCCTACAAACTTGAGACTACTTCTTCTTGGACTTCTCACTCTCGTCTATACAGTATTGCAAGAAGTCTCGTAAACTCTCGAAGTCCGACCGGCCTGGATTTTCGGACTTCGGGATGCGGGGAAGGGCTTCCCCAGCTCTCTGGCGAAATTCCTTTAACTGGAAGAGCAACGTATTTTCAGGTCGCTCTAACTCGGCCAAGTGGAATTCCTCGCTTTATGAGGCTCCCATTCCGCGAAAACTACGATAACCCCGGATACGGAAGATTTTTTAGCTATGCTCATTACAGCCGGACAGGAGAAAAAAAGTCCTTACGTCTTTGACACCCATGGCCTTCCACACCGCGAAACAGAATATACTGAATCCACCAACAGCGTATAGAGTTCCTCTGCCGAGCGCGCGCATCGCAAGCGCCGTGCCGCTTTCAGGAAGTTCCGCCGAAGCCATCATTCCCTGAGGAGAATAGCATTGGAGACATCAAGAAAGCTTTCTACAGCTCCCCTCCCACTAATGAAACGTGACTTTACTTTTGTGAAATCTTTGGGGCAATCCTTCTTCGTCTTCGCGAGCGTCGCACTGAAGCCAAGAAGCATCGAGAAGCCGGCGAGCGTCGACATGAACAGGATTTCTGTTGGAGAGAGAAGATTCTTCATTACATCGAGCACGGGGCTCGGTTACATACTCCCAGGAAGGATCTTATCCATCCATCTTCTCACCGGGCCATCGGGTGCTCGAGGGTTTTTCATCTGTCCTGCCAGGTGATGACATCGTGGTCGACTTCAAACGATGAAGGCCCACAATTGCGTCAATTTCTGAACTTGCAAGTCTTCATTGGACGCGTTATGTGTGAATCAAAGGATCGCTTGGGAGACATTCGCAGAAAGCTCCGGAGAAATCTACGCGCATGGTGCCGCGGTGAGGGTCGGCTGTGTGTTGGCCGGCGGATGTAAACAGAACATCTGCAGTCCGAGCTTTTGGCGCTCCTTTCGAACGGGCGGCCCTCGATATCCTCCCTAGCTCCCCGACGACGTTTCGAGGATTTCCTACTGACCGATTGTTCGAGAATCGGAAGGGCTCAAAAAACCCGAGGCGGGACACTTCCGTGAGCCATCGAGATATTTCGATGGCTTCGTCGGGGAGGGTAGATCTCATCGGGGATCAGAACATTAAAGAAACTTTTCCATCGGGAAAAAATTCGGAAGGGAGTGGCCCCTGATGTTTCTACCCCAATCCTCGAGCGCTCGCTGGAGAATCGCTCGGATACATCGCGGAAGTCCATCACTGGTGCCGCCTCGGGTTAACATAGACAGATAGCCGATCGGCCTCATAGCGTGTTAAGTTGAAGCTAAGACATGGAAGCTCGGCGGCCCGGAGCCAGCAGCCGGCAGCGCTCTGCAAAAACCGGTGTTGCCAGTCTCCCAATAGTCTCCGAGGGCGCTTCGGGGGGAAGGAATGATGAAATCTCCTCATTTCACGGCCGACCGGCGCCTGATGCCCGACCTCGGCGCCGAAGGTGGAGCGGCCTATCGAGGCGGGGAAGAAAGGGGATGAGCGGGGTCCTTTCGGGCCACCAAGTTCTCAGGACCTCGAATACTGCTCATCTTGCTCTCCCAGACGGTCACGAGAGCCATTCCCCGGCCAGGACGCTCCCGAGATGAGGACCAGAATCGTGTGAGACTTTCGAACTGACATTGACAGTCGATGAACTCAGTTCTTGAATATCGGGTGAGAGAAAACACTGCCGGCTGTAGAGGATTCCCTCCGATCACCACACGACCCTCTGAAATGGAGGAATTACTAGCCCCCTCGGTGGATCCGTCAGATACTCCGAATATCGTCAGAGAAGCACTGACTTCGAAGTTCGAAAGAGGCTCGAACTCGCAATGCGCGCATTGTGATGCGACCTGCGTCGCAGACGTCAAGCGACTTCCCAATGAGTGGAAAGAGAGATCCGCGAAAGCGCTCAGAAAAATGTACGCTAAGTCGCTGTGGAAGTTCAATAGGTTTGTCATGACCAAGATACAGTGGGAAGCGAAGCCTGTACCTGCACTGACCTACTGCAACTCGGTCCTGGTAGCATCCGCGGATACACGCAAGAGAATGGAAACGTCGCCGAAGGAAGCAGGTAAATGGGCTCTAGGGCAAGCCGCCTTCAATTTGGCTAACGAGTTTTTTGAAGGAGAATTGGGATGGGCTTCCTATGAGAGCAGAGAAGCCAAAAGCAAAATCCTATTCTTTGCGAGACTCAAGCGAATGCCGAGTCATCGGTGGCCATAAGCCATTCTTGAGGCGATCAAGACATGCAACATCCTCAGTGAGGCATACAATAGAATGCAATATCTTAGCAGGGTGTATGAGTGCGGGTTCGAAGAATCGCAACATGTGGTATCTGAGGAACGCCACCAGAGAGCCTTCCGCAATGATGTAAGCGATCGCATCAGGGCATTCACTTACAGAGAATGAAGGGATGGGATGGAAACCAAATCTAGCCTGGGAAGCTACTGGCAACACAAAAAGAACAGGGGCACGATTGATCATGTATATGACAGCACAAGAGGGAGTACCCTTCTGGCAGGTGCCCAAGCCGGTTTCTTCAACACAAACTCCTTCAGAGCAAGGTTCGAAGAGATAGAACGGAGTTATGAGTTCTGTGACTACCACAACGAAACACTGGAACACATCATCATGGAGTGCAACGAGGAGATAAGCTCTGAGCCGGAGATCCTTAAAATACTAGGCCTACACGAGGACTCAACAAGAGAAACGGTAGTGCGAACAAAAAGAAGTCTTGACAGACGGGGACGGGAGACGAAGAGACACGCTCCCGCTCGCGTCAGATCCACCAACCAATTACCAGCTGAGAAGACTCGCTCCCGCGCATGCATTACCAGGAGTGGTTGATGAATGAATCAATCAATCAATCAATGGAATTCCCGGAGCTGAACGACCAAAAACACGAGTCGTAGCTGACGATGACTTTATTTACAATGATGATAAGAGTTATCTGGTATCAATTATCGAAAGCTGCCGCTCTCGGATCTTGATGAGTTCAGATCGTGACTTTCTGGATAGCTTCGGCGAGCCGCTCTTTGACCTGTATTTCCAATCGCAATCTAGCGACCTCTCCACGCAGTTCCCGATTACTCGCCATTTTCTGAAAGTTGTACAAGACTTCATATGTCAGACCGTGTCGGAGCTTTGCCTCCGAGGTCGATGGCCATGCAAAGGGGAAACCAACGGAGTGAATCATCTCTCGGACATAGGGAAGCAACGCACTAGCTTTATCTGATTCCTAATTTGCATCCTTTTCGTCCGAGCTTCGGGATCGGCATTCCGGAAACACTCATCGCCGGGCAAGAGAACGTGAGGCGGAACCGACATCAATTTCTCGAGTTTAGCCTGAAATCACCAAAAGATCATTTTCATTGCTTTCTCACGCACTTTCGCAATGGCTTTGATATGGTCTCATATACACTGCGAAATTCTCCGAGAAAACCGACGCTGATCCGATCCAAGCAGCTGTCATAGTGGGTGGTGTCAAGGGTGGCCGAACGCTCGACTGAAGAACGGTCAACCGGCTCTTTGAAACAATTCTGTAAGAATCAGAGAGCATGACTCTTTGTGACAACAATGTCCGCGTCTCCGCCCCCTCCCCCTCTCATTCCTCCTCCGGCAGGGAGCTCCTCGCCGAATGGCCTGTCGGCGAATGCCTCACCAGATCGAAGACGTCATCCACCAGAGATCTCATTGATTGCGTCAGCTCGTCTTCCAGCAGGTCTTGAACTGAGAAAATCTTATGAGTTTAGGCTCAATCCACACTAGAAAGTTCAGGATAGGAGATGACGACAGGGGAGATTTCTCAAGAAGAATAATCAGTCGCGAATGATCGGATAGAATTGATTTTCGTCCTCAATTGGTCGCGAATGTAAAATGATTTGAAATTATTCAGATCGCAGCTGTTCCATGGAACTCACTCTGGTCAGCGATTTCAGTCGGGAGGACTCCGAAAGCTTTGAAGGAGTATAAGATGTCCGCCATCTGTTGCGGCGGATAAAGAGCCATGATCGGCGTCGACGGGACGATCGAGCTACTAGGGTTCCCGAGGCGTTGGCCACAATAAAGGCTTCAGACCGGATTCGCTCCTCCGTTCGGTTGCGGCTAAAAAGTTTGAATTCGTGTGTTGACATCAGAAATCCCAGACTCCCGCCAAATATCGATACGGTGTCAGGGTAGCAACAGTTGCCTGAATTCATAGGTGGGAAATTCGGCAAACAGAGCGACCCGAGAGAACTACGCATCCGGAACTTGACTCGTTTCGCACGTCAGTTGGTTAGCGTCACCAGAGTGCATCTGAACTGCTCGGGAGCCGACCTTAGTCCGCGCATTCGAAACATGTTCACTGGCGACGACCGAAGCTCCTCCTCCAGCTGTACGAGCGGCGAACTTAAGAGGAGTCGCTCACAACTCGAAAGTATGTGCCTGCTTCCCCAATATGCTGAAAAATTCCGGAGATTGAATACCATTCGCTGCCGCTTCTAGACTGACCCCCTTGATTGGTACATTCCGCGCTGGCTCGCCAATCTCGGGTTCTCGGGATCTCGGATACCACTGCCGGAACTCCATCGACCCGACCTACTCGATTGAGCCGACCACGATTGAGAAGGTTTTCTTCCTTTTTCGCAGGCGAGAGCATCCCTGAAGCGAATGAAAACGTCATTGGCGAAGAAGTTCTTTCGACTCTGCTGAGTTCAATTCTGCGGGAGAAACGTCAAGCTCTGCTCCGGCAGCCAGAGGTGGCAGCCATTTTGGAACAGAGACGTCTAGGTCAATTTTTGGTCGAAAACCGAAGAAACTGAATGTCCGACTGCGGCACGAACTCGTGTCTCTGTCATGCCTCTACAGCAGTGTCCCAATCGATGGATGAGATGGACTTCGAGAAGGGTCTCTGGGGAGCGGCTTCAGACGGAAACCTAGCTAGGATACGTGACTTGATCAATAAAGGCAAGAATCCGAACGACCCTGATTCGTACGGATACACCGCTCTGCACTATGCCGCCCGTGGTGGACGAGTCGAGGTCGTCCGAGAACTCTTGTCGAGAGGGGCCTGTCCAAGAGCTCAAACGCGGGGCGGCGCGACCCCCGGACACCGTGCCGCCTACGCCGGGCATGAGGCGGTGCTCTGGTCACTTCTGGTAGACGGTGCCGAAAGCCTTGTCGACTCTGACGGTGACACGGTCGTTCACAAGGTAAATTTGGCGTCTATCGATGCTAAGAGTATCTGATCAGCCTCATATCTACAGGATGTTGATCTCCATGTCGGAGACTGAAATTTGACATTGATGAGTTGCAGGCAGTGAAGGGCGGGCACCACTCTCTAGCCCTGGAGATCATCGCGAGGTTCCCGGGTTTGGCGACGGTTCGGAACAACAGGCAGCAACTCTACGATCTCAGAGAGGCCGCGGATTGAAGTGGAGGAGAGGGTTTCAATGGAGATATTTTTGAAAGAGTCATTTTCTGTCCATTCTCTGTCCTCGCTCATTACCTATTATCACAGTCAGCTCGGACGGAAATCGCTCCTCTGATACGCAGGCATTAAATCAGGGTATGGTTCCGGAAAGTCGGGTCGGATCGTTCGCAGATCGTCATTTCTATGTACATATAATATATCGCCGAGAAGTCTCCCGGTTAGGAGAAGTCATGAAAAAAGGTCTCGCAGCCTGGGCGAATTATTCTGGGGACGTATTCGAGATGGCTGCGGTGGAGATTGACCCAGCGTTTCCGTCGTGGAGGACCCGACATTTCAGTGAGATAACCTCTTCAGGCTAATGGTAGCTTGGCCGAAAAGAGCTTGCTCAATTATTTGAGAATAGGTGAATATACCCGAATGAGTGAGTCGAAAGTCGATAAGGAATCATCTTGATTATCGATCATCTGCTCGCTGACGAGATCGAACGCTCGGTGTATCAAACCTCGTTTCATCCTCGCATTGTGCCGCCATGAGTGAGCGCTTATGGTGAACGATCAATGATGTGCGAAATATTTGGGGTGCGTCGATCGCGTCACTGCTTCAAGAGACCGTTCGCAGCCTGGCTGTGAGCTCCGATCGGAGGAGACCGAGATTTCGATCAAGGGTTTCAGCAGAGCGAGGTTGACGGAGACAGAGCTCGCCTCTGAAGTACCGAACCCACCGCGTTGGTCTCGCAGTTCTCGCGCCTGGATGATATCGAGGGCGGATCATTAGAGGAAGAAAACTCGGGTTCTCGGAACCGGATTCGTTAGAGCGCCTAAACCCTGCATATAGCGTGCTGGGGCGAATTCTGGTCGTGGTGGTGCCTAGCGTTCGCTGCCTTTCCGGCATAGTGGCGATGATTAGGTGGATTAGCAGGTCTCTTTCATGAAATTCAGCTCAGTTTAATCGACGAGACGTTTCCGAAAGAGATATCCCATCTAGGGAGCGTCATGCAAGTACGCGACATTACTGGATAATCGCATCCAGCTCGAGAGAGACGCGTTCAATTTTGGCGGGCTTTCCCTGATCGTGAGAAAGGGCAAGCGCGGCCGGTGAATGGAACGTCTACAAGACTAGCCTCCCCATCGTGGGTTTTGAGAGAATCGAACGATCAACCACGGGTTCTATGCCAGCTGCGCGGAGGTCTCCCTGCCGTGCGGACGTTTTAGAGCGTGTCATTTTTAAATCACCTTGAAGCATACTTAAGTTTCATCGATGGAGTTCTTGATTGGTGGACTCTCTTCCTGCGGAGCGGTTATTGTGACGAACCCGCTCGAAGTGGCGAAAACTCGGATACAGCTGCAAGGAGAACTCCAAGCCCGCGGCTGCTATCCCGTGCACTACCGGAATGTTTTCCACGCTATATTAACTATCGGTGAGTTCTCAAGCTCGGGGATACGCTTCACGAACAACCGCTGCTTCCGACATCACGGGTCACGGAGCTCAATCAATACCAGCTGTTCGACTCCGAGAACATGGGACTGGTCCGAGCTCTGAGCGGAGAATGGACGTCCTCCACGTTCCCCTGAGTCCCTCATTACAGCCTCTTCGAGGAAGAAAGAGCCCTATGCCGTTCTGTATGGGGAAATTAAATTCCACCTCATTTGCAGGAACGAAGGATGGTGTGCGTGCCATTCAGAGCGGTCTCGCTCCCGCCATGTGCTATCAGTTTTGTCAGAATGGTTTTCGGCTCGGGGCCTTCCAGCTCATGGAGGACTCGGACCTGACGAGAAACGAGGACGGCTCGGTGAGCTTCTCGCGGAGTGTTCTGGCCGGAGCCGCCGCCGGAAGCGTGGGTGCTTTCCTAGCGAGTCCACTCTACATGGTGAGAACTCTTTAGAAATTTTTTGCTCCCCCCTCTTTGTCACGGCTCGAGCCATATTTCGGATTCCTCCCCGAGGAAACTCTCGTCGTTCGCGTTCCCCGTCCAGGAATTCCCGTGACCGCCTAAGAACACATTTCCTGGGAAACATTCGCATGGATCTACCAGTCTCGATGGAAGCACCGAAGAGATGTTTGTGTGACGATTTTCGATTTCCGGGAATTTTCCCGCTGGACTTGGAGTTCGTTCCGCAGCGGAAACTCCGTTGACTCAGTAACAGCGGGATACCGCTACGTCATGACAACGCGTGGAGATTATTCCACCGTCCTATCGCGCAGATCTCGCCGAGACTGTCAATGGTTACGATAGCGATAGCGCTAGATACGCGTACTTCGATAAGCGTTATAATTCAAAGCCATCAAGAGCTGTTTTCTCGCAGTCGGAGCTGAGATAATGCGCACTCGAGCTTTGCGACGCAAATACTCCGAGTCAACAAGAGCTGGACAGTGCACGCTCGCTGGGCGCTCGCGACTCGCTTGCTGACCTTGAACGATCAGATCGCTTCTCTCTCTCAGGGAAAATGATCCTTTCAGATTAAAACTCAGCTGCAATCTTCGACCCGGGTTCAAGCAATCGCCGTCGGCTTCCAGCATCGACACGTGACCATGTTTGACGCTTTAGCGACGGCATGGACCAACGGCGGCGTCCGAGGGCTTTGGCGAGGCGCCAGTGCTGCCACTCTGAGAGTCAGCGCCGGGAGCTCGGTTCAGCTCGGCACCTTCAGCAAGGCTCGCAGTTTGCTCCAAGAACGATTTCCGGTATGGTCCGATGGTACCGTACTTGAGGAGCGAATTCCGATTCCTCCAACTTCCCCCCGAAAAACCTCATGATGGAATGAAAATCTCACGTCACAGCGTGTTCACGATTTCAGCTACTACAGGAGTACCCGATGCTAGCGACTTTCTTCGCTTCGCTTGCAAGTGGCAGCGTGCACTGCCTTTTCATGACGCCTTTCGACGTTGTCTGCACCCGACTCTATAACCAAGGAGTCGATCAGAGTACGAAAAAAGGCAAGTTTTCTCCACATCGACGACCCTCGATAATCATTCATCAGAAGGCTCGGCAACGCGGCTTCCGTTCTCTCGTTTTTCGAGGGATTCATCTCAGAAGCCCATATCTCCGGGTTTCGTTGTGGAGGGTAATCGCTGAGGAAATTTTTTGCCTTTCCAGGATTGTACTACGATGGAGTCCTGGATTGTTTCAGAAAAACTTTCCGCTCGGAAGGGGTGCTCGGCTTCTACAAAGGTGTGACCGCAGTCATCTCTCGTTGCGGACCGCACACTGTCATAACGTTGATGCTCTGGCAAACATTGAAAGCCCTCAATGAGAAACGGTTGTGCGACCGAGTCCCCCCTTCGACATCGGGCGCCGAGATCATCTCCCTGTCCGGGCAATCCGCGAAATTGAATGCGTGACAAGAGCATCAGCGACAATGATGTCGGAGCGAATGTCTACTTTGACGACACGCACAGGGTCCTAGATAGCCACAAGCCAAGTCGAACGCGCTCTCAAGGGGGCCTGATACCGAGATGCCCTTCGAGGGAATCCCCTGGCTTGCTCCTGACACAGCTCCGGTGTTTGGGTCGGACCGTGTTCAGGAGCGAGACAGTCTCCCCCGTGAGACAAGGGCTTTCGTTTCACGAAGGGTCCTGGCACAATGGAGCAGTTCCGGTGCTCATTAGGAACATCGATTGGTAGGGTACCAGCTCTATTAGATATCGTGAAATCTTAATGTCAATCATGAATGGAGAATGTTCCTCGACGTCTCAGATTTGAATCGATTCCGCCCAGCTTCGAGCGGTTCTCTCCCGCTAGAATTCAAGTTCTCGAGCCGTAGTCGACGGTATATGCGGTGTCTTACGCAGAACGCTTACCCTCACGAGTACTACGAAGCGTATAAGCGGGTCGACTCCTTCGCTGAGGACTCATACTTTACGTCGCCGTTAGGCACTCAGGCCCCCTCTCTGACAGGGAACACTGACGATAATCTCAATGCGTCGGTCGCGATGTGATTCGAGATCATGAATCATGATGCTCTAGGGACGAATGCACAAAAAAAAAAATGCACATGTCAGCAATGAGTACAAGTGTAGATTTAAAACTATCGTGCAGCTGTGATCTGCTCAAAATAGCACCATGTATAAAGTATTATGTTTGTGAAGAACTTTCGTCTTACGGATGCTTGGGATTAGACACGACTCGATGGGTCAATCGAATCCGTATTAATAACTTGTATTCTAGTGTCCCGTTTTGATGGGGCGAGGATCCTAAGCCGGAATCTGGGCCAGACCACGATTCACTGCATTTGGCGGGCTTTTTTGTAATGAGTTAGCCCCGGAATGAAATAAAGGAGGAACTGAAATAGAAAATGGAAAACCCATCTCACGAAGCTGTCATTGATGGGTTGATCACGCTCCCGCTGGGAGCTGAAGGAGCGAATTTTATCTTCAAATGGAAACGACATAGTTCTCAAAACACAGACAAGCGCGATTTCCGAGGCCCGATCTGGATTATCTAGGGAACCCCGCAGGACTGGCTTTTCGTTGTAGCAGAAATCAGGGAGGAATTGTGACAGAAGATTTCCAGCCTTACTTCCAGGGCATGTCAGCCCACGGACGGAGAAAAGTCTTCGGTGACTGATTCTCGCGGCTAATCCTCAGCTTCCGTGGGGGAGCCCTTTCTTCCAAGATCTCTTTCCGGCCCATACGGCTCCACGTTGAGGCTCATCATCATCGGTGGTGGTTGGCCCGACCAAGACAATCGCCCTGGCCCCTCCCGCCAAAAGATCCTTGGCACGCGCCTGCATTTCAACTCGGATACCAAGGTCTAGTGAAGAAGTTCGCCGAACAGCAAGGAACGCAAGGTTCATCGATGTTGTCTCGGGTGGACGGTTAGCCTTCAGACTTCGAGTTTGGTCATTTGAGATTAGCCGAGCGGATCACTGGAGCAAATGGCGAGGTGAGAGCAGAGCGGAGACCAATAGTTACTTGTTGAACACTTCAAATCCATTGTCTCCAATCGAACACAATGAATCGAGTATGATGCTCCTCGGGAAACGATGCTTAGAATTCAGGCTCTGATCGCTTTCGCGGCGGAGGGATGCCTCAAACTCGAGTCGGTTCCTACGTAGCGGGTCGCGGAAGGTTCCCCGAGATTCCCTCCTGAACAGGTACGTATCACCCGCGCGTACTGAATGAAGCTTCAGCCTGGATCCTGGAAGTGGAGCTGGGGTCCAGGACCAGCATTTTGGAAGAGGAATCTGGCTAATCGCCGGAAACCAGAATTACGCTGCGTACATTGTGTTCGCTCCGAGAAATCAGATCTTTGAGCACTAGGGGTGCGATTCGCAGCATATGCGCCTCGCTCCAACGTCTTCATCGGATGGGAACTCGCTCTTCAATTCACAAGGAGGCGATTCAGGGGGATTTCAACGGAACATTTGCGCAACAATCGTTCAGCTCATCCCGTGACCGCTCAGTGCTGAGTGACAGCCGTTTGAATGTTGGCGCCGAAACTTCTCCCGCAACCAGGCGTATGAAACTTGGCTGATGATGATGATGGCTGCGAACGTTCGGCCAACCACCGCCGCCGCCGCACGAGAGTCGTCTGCTTTGGCCGATGAGTCGCCATTCGCCATGTTACGGAGTCGGTAGATAGAGCTGGGACGGCGATCTTGAAGACAACTCATTGACATACAGGACCTTCAATGCTGGTTTGGTGACCGAGCCGCGTCCATCAGCCCTGAAAAACAATGTGTTGACGACACGCGAGCGACGTGCCATAAGTGAAGTCGCGAGATCGCCGGACATCGACGGTCCCACATACTGGCGCTCTGACGTCAACAACGCGCAACTGTGCGGTCGATGGTAGGATTTTACCCGAACTAGTTGTTTTTTCATCTTCGTGCTGTGCGGCACAGTTCTTGCTTGCCGAGGAAGCTACACCATCATCGTGAATGAAGGACTCCGGCGAACAACGGCCGGCCCACTGTTTCGGCACCGAGTGTTGAGTCGACCGCTGGATTTCAGTCGCACAAAACTTCCAACCGTGTTCCGGAACACTGGCATCAGGCGTTTTTTCGCCGTCCGCCCTTTCGCCCCGTGTGAAAAATCATCTTTTTTGCCCAACAGCGGGACTTAAATTAGAATAATCTTGACACGATTGGGCGAATCGTCAGCAGGCACGCCCCTGTTGGGCAACACTCTAAGATCTCCAAACAGGGCCACGACAATAATCACCTCCATCCCCACCACCATTCCTCGCAGCAAGCACAACAACTGCAGAAACAACAAGATCATACTTCGAGCAAGGACGACTTAGATTCGAGAGAGGTGAACCCTCCGAAAGAGGTAAACTCTCTCAAGTCGAATAAGAAACAGAAGAGTCACCAGAAGTTGCTGCTGCAACAACAATCGCACCAGCAGCAGCAGTCACCGCAGCAACCGCAGGTCAAAGAGCAGCAACAACATCAACAACAAGCTCGACAGCAGCAACAAAAGGACCCGCAGCAACAACAAGCTCAGCAACAGCAAAGGGAGCTGCAACAACCAGCATCACCTCAAAGGCCCGACGAAAACCATCACCCGAGTAGCAAGAAACACGGTGCCGCCGCTGACTCGAACAACGCGGTCGGTGACGTGAGGGATCATCCGAAGGAATCTGTCGTGCGAAAGCAAGACCCTCCGACAGGAGATCAGCCTCAGGACATCGTCGTCGTCGTCAACAACAATAACAACAGCAGCAGCAACAACATCGACAACAAGTCAACGTTCTCTCAGAAACCCCACGCGGACGCTGTAGCTTCGAGCCAGAAGCGCAGTTTAGCGAAAGCGGACAGCGACAGCGATAAAGATTTTTCTGAACAGCTGCGCAACCCATCTCATCAATACAAGATGGCTGGCAAAGAAGAATATGAATCGAAAGTCCATAATGAGGAACGAAACATGTTGATCGAGTTGAGGAAAAACGACGAGATGCTCATCGGCGGAAAAAACGGCAGCGGCAACGCCCGCGCCGGTGCCGGCAACAAACAGTCCGAGAACAATAAACCGCGCGAAGAAGACATGGACACCCAAGAGGACGCACCGCTGTCGAACAACGACGACGGCGTTCTCTTCCCGCAACCGATGAGCCAGGACGAGGTTCCTAACCCCCCCGAAGACACGGAAGATGAAGCCCGCGCGGAGGCCACCTTCCGCTTTGAGGTCGACAATATCAGTCACCTCAGAGACACTCGTCTCTCCGAGCCAACATTCGTTCGCAACCTTCCGTGGAAGATCATGGTGATGCCTCGCCATAACGCCAATTCGAATGAGCGACAACCGTCGAAAAGTCTGGGATTCTTCTTGCAATGCAACGGCGATTCGGACTCCGGTTCGTGGAGCTGTTCAGCGCAAGCCGCTCTCAGACTAATCTCACACAAAGAAGGCGTTGAGAATTCCGAACGCAAGATTACGCACGTTTTTTACAACAAGGAGAACGATTGGGGTTACTCTCACTTTTTGAGCTGGAACGACGTTATCGATCCTGAGAAAGGCTTCTGCAAAGACAACAAGATCGTCTGTGAGGTATGGGTCATGGCCGAAGCGCCGCACGGAGTCAGTTGGGACAGCAAGAAGCACACCGGCTACGTGGGCCTCAAGAACCAGGGGGCTACGTGCTACATGAACTCACTATTGCAAACGCTCTATTTCACCAACAAGCTCCGGAAAGCAGTTTACCAAATGCCGACAGAATCCGACGACTCGGCGAAGAGTGTTGCCCTGGCCCTCCAACGAGTTTTCCACGAACTCCAGTTCAGCGACAAGCCGGTCGGAACGAAAAAGCTCACGAAGAGCTTCGGCTGGGAAACGCTCGACTCTTTTATGCAGCACGACGTGCAAGAGCTGTGTCGGGTCCTACTCGACAACATGGAATCGAAAATGAAGGGCACCATCGTCGAGGGCACGATCCCCAAGCTGTTCGAAGGCAAAATGATATCCTATATCGCGTGTAAGAACGTCAATTACCAATCGAAGCGCATCGAGCCCTTCTACGACATTCAGCTGAACGTCAAGGGGAAGAAAGACATCATCGACTCGTTCAAAGACTACTGCGCTAAAGAAACACTCGATGGAGAGAACAAATACGATGCCGGGAACCACGGACTCCAGGCCGCGGAAAAGGGAATTATTTTCAAATCGTTTCCACCGGTACTCCATCTGCATCTCCTGAGATTCCAGTACGACCCAGCGACTGACTCTAACATCAAAATCAACGATCGGTGAGTTTCCTCCTAATCGATTGGATGATATTCGCATTATAATACAATAACATGAATTATAATTCAACGTTAATTGAGAGAAGGCGAGGTTTTTTGTCTTGGGACAGAACATGTGATCCACCCATCCATGTACGTATCTCCACAAGCCGTTCATATCGGATCGAGTCGGCGGTCTCGCTCGGCTGAGTGAGACCCATTGAAAGTCTGACTTCCAGTAATCGGAGACGGAAAAAGATGTGTTTACTCGATCGAAGCCGAATACTCGCTCGTCGTCCGAGTGCGCGAGGAATGGATGGCTCGTTCACCGACGACGATAATCGACAGAACGAAGCATTCAAATTGTTCTCCCTTACACTTCCAGATTCGAGTTCGCAGAGAAATTGGATCTCGACGAGTTCCTGGAAGAGAAAGAAGATACCCCAGCTCACTACACGCTGCACGCTGTTCTCGTGCACTCCGGAGACAACCATGGTGGCCACTATGTAGTATTCATCAATCCTAAAGGTGACGGAAAATGGTGCAAATTCGACGACGACGTGGTGTCTCGTTGCACGAAACAGGAAGCCATAGATCACAATTTCGGAGCGGGCTCTGACGACGACATGGCAATGAGTCGACACTGTACAAACGCGTACATGTTGGTGTACATCCGTGATTCGGCTCTCCCCGATGTTTTGCAGAAGGTAGGCTTCCGTGAATCCTCGATGAGGTTCTCAATCAGAATCCAATTGGCGAGGCGGGACTTTCTGACGTTCGCTCTAATCGACTCCAGGTGGAAAAGGAAGCTATTCCAGAGCAGTTGATGGATCGGCTACAAGAAGAGAAGCAAGTCGAAGCACAGCGCCGAAAAGAGCGCAACGAAGCCCATCTCTATATGCAGGTCGGTGGTTCGGTATTTTGATCAACCGAAATTCAGTGTGGAGACGAAAGGTCAAGGATCGAGGAAGCCCGATTTTTCCGGGGCTTTGCGCACCAAGGTAGCGAAGGCAGCGTTTCTTAAGTGCTTATTCCGTCCCCTTGCTCGCCTGCAGGTGCAAGTCGTTCTCGAAGAACATTTCTTCGTACATCAGGGAACGGATCTGATCGACCCGGACAAATGCCAGTACCGCAACTTTAAAGTTCGGAAGACATCGACTCTATCGGAACTTATCGAGTTGATTGCCAACCAATTAGGCTATCCGGTGGCTGGGATTCGTCCGTGGCAAATGTCGATAAGGACCAATCAAACCCTGCGTCCGACAGAGCTTGACGAGAGCGAATATTCGCGGCACATCCAAGACATCTCAGACCAATCGGGCTCGTGGACTCTTTTCATAGAAACCATCAATCCTGAGAACAATGAAATGGCGCTGCCGTTCTACGACCGTGAAACCGACGTTCTGATGTTCTTCAAGTTGTACGACCCGTACGAGAAGAGACTATCGTATATCGGGCACCAGTACACGCCGACCAGAACGAGGCTACGCGATTTGATTTGCGATTTGAACAAGAAAGCTGGCTTCCCACCGAACACGCCTCTCCTGGTCTTCGAGGAAGTCAAACCGACCCTTCTAGAGCCGATCCAGGAACTCGATGAACAGCTCGACAAACTGCTCGAGGAGCTTATGGACGGCGATATAATAATTTTCCAAAAGTCCCTTCCACCTTCCGAAGCCGCAAAACTCGAACTGCCCAGCGTCAGAGAGTACTTCAGATATCTACAAAACCGCGTCGAGGTACTTTTCTGTGATAAATGCGACCCGAACGACAGTGGCTTTGTACTGGAGTTGTCTTTGAAGATGAACTATGAAGAGATCGCGGCGGCGGTCGCAAAACATCTCGACACGCATCCGAAGTTGCTTCAGTTTTTCAAGACGCAATCGTACCGCGATGGCCCCGGCAATCCGTTACGTTTCAGTTTCGATGGGACCCTCAAGGATATGCTGTCATTCTTCAAGGGAAAGCAACAGCGAAAAATGCACTACCAGCGGCTTTCGATTCCCATCGACGAACTCGAGTCGAAACGCCAATTCAAGGTGCTCTGGGTGAACTATAAGCTCAAGGAAGAGCGCGAACTGACGCTCTACCCGAACAAGAACGGAACGGTGGGCGATCTCCTGCAAGAGGCCAAAAACGCGCTCCAACCCGGAGATCTGGACCCCGAACACGGGTCGGGCAAGCTGCGATTGCTCGAGATAGTTTCCTACAAAATCGTTTCGATACAGCCCGAAACCACTAATCTGGATAATCTCAACGTCAGCAACAAAACGTACCGCATCGAAGAGGTTCCCAAAGAACAACTCGAAGACGTCGACAACGACCACACCGTTCTACTTCCGTGCAGCCATTATCAGAAAGAGATCTTCACCACGTTTGGGACACCATTCCTGCTCAAGATTCACCACGGTGAAACCTTCCAGGTGAGAAGATATTTATGTAGCGGACCCGGAGCTCTTGTCGTCTCTGTCAAGATGTTCCCGCTGCGGTGTTCTCCACTAGCAGTTCGTGCAGATGCTCCATTCTGATATAGCATTATTTCAATTCAAATAATTACATTACTCGTGCTGATAACGATGAGGGCCGTTTCGGAAATCTCGTCCGATCTCACCTCTCTTTCGTTCGTTCCTTCTGCAGGCCGTGCGCGACAGAATTCAGAAGAGATTAGATATCCCCGACAAAGAGTTCGAGAAATGGCGTCTCTCCATCGTCTCTCTGGGGCGTGCTACCTACATCGAGAACTTCAAGGAGCCCGTGAACATCCCTCAGATGATGCAGAATTGCCAAGGAGGATTTCCGGCTAAACCATGGCTAGGCTTGGACCACATCAACAAGACTCCGAAACGACCCAAGTTCAGCTATCAGGAGAAGGCTATCAAAATCCACAACTAGACACGTAGCTGTTGAGGGCCAACAAGCGGATGGACCTGGAGGGAATCAGCTAGGAATCGGGCGCATGGCGAGCGTGGACCCATAGAAAAGCAGCAGCCGACAGTGGTATGAGCGGGCAAACTGACTGAAGATTACTTGACAAACACGCCGACAAGCGGACAGACGAATTACAGAGACCAATCACTATCACTATCCATAACGGCCAGAAAACGGAATCAGGGACAGACACTCACCGGAACACGAGACAAAAGTGCGGAAAAAATGAGAGGCCCTAATCGTTTCCGTCTGAAAAACAAGTTCGCTCGAGACAATAAGTTGAGATATTGCTGCTGCTGCTGCCGCCGCTGCAACTGCTGCAGAGCCACCGGAGAACCGAGTTCAGTGGTGGGGGAGGCTTTACGAGCTAGGGTTAGCTTTCGTCTCCGGGTGACACGGAACGTTTGATTTTCTTTCGAACCAGTTGTTGTTGTTGTTGATGCTGAGTGAAGAGGTGGAGTCGAAGCTTGACATCGAAGAGTATCAAGCGAGAACACATCTCGATTGTCGAGTTCATTGGAAGGCGTTTCGCCCTCGGTCAGAGCAGTGGTACTCCGGGGTGTTCGGCAGCAGAAGCAGATTGGAGAATCCGAACGCTTTTTTTTCGTTCCAATTCTGTTTTCTGTCTTGAGGCGGCCTAACTAGTGCGACGGCGGCTAACCTCATTGGATTCCGTCTCGGCAGAAAAGGTTTCGCTATGATCTGCGGCGACAGGAGCGATAGCGAAAACCGACGATCATCGTCACCTGGGACCGCGTTTTGAGAACATTATGCTTTTGCGACAAGTGTGAAAGTCGATAAATTTCCCGAATATGTAGATTCCCCTTCCCCCTGTGGGAGCGACCGCGATTCCATCCACCACCTAGCGAGTCAGGGAATTAATTTCCACAAATTATTTTATCGACGCGACGTGTTCGAAATCTGAATCTACCACAGTGATGATGTCCGGCCCGCTGATTAATTAATTCATGGATGTGATTGACGCGATAACGAGAGAGAAAGAGCTCGATCACTCCAAGAGGAGCCAGTAAATGATGATATCTATTTGTCTTATATTGAATGAAAAATTCTGGAAACGGTGAAGCGAGGCTCATTTTTCTTGGTATCTCGGTATTCATAAGATCAAACAGCTGGGGTGACCGACCGTCAATGTCCGCGCGGAGACGAACAGGCGTACACAGAAAACACGATGTCTCGGCGTTCATCGAGGGATCCTTATCCGTCAAGTTTAGGAGGGGGGAGCGTGGGAAGAAACCTCGGGCGGACATCGATATAGAGACAGGGAACATGAAGAAACTCGCTAAAATGCCTACCGCTGTTCCTAAAGAGGTGCAGCAGAGAGGGGGTTCCGGCGTCTGGCGAGAATGAGCTCGACGAGATCTTCCGGACACTGAGGGCAAGGAACTCTCGGCGAACACTACTCCGGCCACAAATAACCCGAAGGTCTCCACTTTCGAACCTCGCGGCTCAAAGGCTTCCTCGTCGGAGATCCATGTGTTGGACAATTATTTTCTCTTGGAAGCGGATTTCATTGAAAATTTTCATCAATATCGTATCGGTAAGGGAAAACCGTCAGCAAAAATCTGCCTTGAAGACGAGAGATCCTTAATCGGCACCCGGATCCGATGGATGATGGGAAAGGCGACCGGCTCGACGGAACATTATATATCTGCGAATATGAGGAAATCTATAAAGTTTTCACGGAACGTGAATAAATGAGAATCAGCTGAAGATTAAATCGAGCTCCTCCTCTTCCCTCGCGGAGCCGCTGTACTCAGGTGCCTACTTCTATTGAGCTCCAAGGGAATCTAGCGACTCCTGAGGCTTCTTCGTTCAGGGATTTCCTGTATCCAAGATCTCTCGGAAAATGAGAGGGAGCAGATGAACGGTGTGGAGCAGTTGCGAACACCAAACGATCGAGACGATTACCGCAAGTGTCGTGGAGACGACAGATTTCTGCAAAACTGAAACCAACGCCCCCATCCACACGATAGGTCCATGCGCTGATGAATATGCCGCGACGCGTTGCCAGGCCGTGTATATATGATAATTATGATGAAAAATTATGGTGGGTTGATTATTATATGCGTCTGATCATTATATCTATGAGAGGATTTCTGAACACACAAACTGATTGTTTGTACGGAGACTTATAAGATGAACATAGTAGTCGACGAGCGACAGTCGGGAGACCAACTCCGGCGCTGTAGCCCCGCTGATTTTTGGGGGAAAACGAGAAATTCGATCACAGTCAGAGGAATCGCGACGGGAATACATTTTGCAGTCCGAGAAGTGTTTCTCGTTGCGGAATCGACTTCGGAATTGATGTAAAATGAAGCTCTGGAAAGTGAATAAACGAAACGAAGCTGACCGTGACCGACTCTAATTTTCGACGGTTCCGTCATAAATATGACGGAAAGCCGGGAAGCCTCGACGGAGACGACCGGGAAGCCTCCCGCAGTATCATCGGTACCAGCAGGCAAGGCTGCCATTACGTTCGATCGAGTCCAAATATTCTTAAGAGATCCCTAGAGCCCTAGAGGAATAAGATCCTATCGGACTCTGGTCGATGATCAGTTATAACCATTATCTTGAGAGAGAGAGGTGGAGGACATTCGATCGATGCGTTTGAGCACTCCTTACCATGATTCTGGACCTGGACCAGCCAGAGAGTCCCGACTCCGATGACATGTTCGAGTCCCGGGAGGGTTCGGAACGAAATCCGAATTGGACGACCTTCCGACGCAAGAATTCAAGTATAAAAGAATGTGATCAGTAGAGACGGAATGTTATCCGCGAGCAGTCGTGAGGTTAGGACTCCAGCGCGCAAGTCTTCAGGCCGATTCTCAGAATCGAGCCGCATCATGGAGCGCTTCCACAGCGAAGAAGCCGTTCCGGTCTTCAACCTCGAGAACGAGTCGCGATCGAGACACTTTCCGACCTTCAGTCACGAGAAAGACAACACCATGTCGTGTTTCATGTAAAACTCGTATTGAACAGTCAGTTAGAAGTTAGAAATTATAAAGTTTCAGAGCTCCCCGTCATCTTGGATACATTATAGATGTCTGTCGGACGAGAGTCTCCCCCTCTGTGGGCATCAACGAATTTCTCCGGGACCGGGAACACGCTCAAAGTCTAGGAACTCCTCCTCCCTCTTCGATTTTGCCGACACGAATCTGAGTATTTGGCTCACGTTCATCATCACGCATCTGAGTGCCTTGTTCCATTCCTCCTCGCAATTGAAGTAGTACCGGATAGAGTAGGTGTCTTCGGAATCTCGCTCGCCAATGTCGCTGCCTGATATGGGATGAAGAAGGGTGAAGTTTCTGTCCTGGCGTCGGATTTCTGCCTCAAACTGCTGCAAGCAATCCAAGAAGGCCTCCATTGCTGAGTCGAATTCGGGATTGAATAGCTGCCCTGTCCCGATACTGTGATACAGCGGGAGCTTCTTGCGTGCCCTCTGCGCCACGATGTATGATTTATCTCCGTAAGGAACTAGAGCGTAATTGTCCAGCGTGAAGTCGAGCTTCTTCGCACAGGCGAACAACGCCTGCGTGAGCTGGCCCCAGGCCATGCTGAGCTCCCACCATTCTCTCGCGTCCTCTTCGCGGGTTGGTTTTCCGAGTCGAAAGCCATTTATCATGCCCAATGCTCCCTCGCGACGAATCCTGAAGGATGAGTCGAAGACACTCGTGTTCTTCATCTCCATGAGACGGGCTTTGGCGTATTCGAGCCGGTTTTCGGTTGAGGTCAATTTGTCGGACATGACAAACCACAGTTCTTTCTCTAGCATGTAGTTACGGAATTCCACTTTCTCTAGTTTCTCCAAGCGCTCCTTCTCCTTGAGCAACGCGTCGCGCTGTTTGAAAACCAAATCGCGTTCCGTTTGCAGCTTACTCAGCCTGCCGTCCAACTCTCTCTCTTCTGCATGGAGCTTTTCCAACTGGGCGCGGAGTTCTTCCATTCCCTCTTGATCTGGTTCTCCCAGTCGGTCAAGGTATGTTTTGTGAGCAGCAACCTGGGGGGTTGGGGGCGTGGATTAGAACGAATGCACTCAGAGCACGGACATCGAAGAGGTGAATGCGAAATGGGCGGATCACTCACCTCTTTCTCGACCGCATCCAGCTCTTCCTGCATGAAATCCATTAAAGTATCGACGCATTCGCGGCACATGGGGAGCTCATTATTCTCGCTGTCTCGAAGAACTTCCTTGAGCCGGGCAGTCGTCTCCATGTGTTGCGAAAACCCCCCTGCTTCATACGGAGTTATTTTTTTTCGAGCACCCGTCGGGTAAGCCGTCGATTTCTTGGGAGTATTATTTGAAAGGGGGCCCAGTACTCTGCGTTGCGCTCTGCGCTCGGCGAGCGAGGCTCGTTCGGGCGCAGGGCACGGATTGATCGGTATATCTTCCTCGATTGATGGCGCATTCCCAAAGTCCAAAGGAACAGAGCACTTCTCACAGTAGCTCACTTCGGTCTTGGCGGTCATGTTCGTGCTCTCACGCTGTCGGGTTTTCCCTCTTAAGGCGCCTGAAAGTATTCATGATTCATCCAGATTCGTATAGATCACGAATCATGAGTGTTCGGACTCCATGACGGACGCTAAATTCTACGATCCGAGGGTTTCACCGGCCGGATTGACGGCCCGGTCAAGCCCACCGTACCTTTCTCCGCAGCGGACGCTTCCCCGGATTTCGATTTTTTCCGTAATGCGTCTCCTCTCCTGGGCGGGTCTTCTTCGAGGATCTGGGTTGAATCGACCCTATGGCACACAACTCACGACACATGCAGAGCTCAAGCAGAAGCCTCGCACGAAGAACGTTCCGTGGCCGGAATACACGACGTCCGGGAGTGAAGAACGTACACATATGCTGACATTCGATCGATCGCGAGGAAGACAGCGTACAAACACCCATCTCCGATTGAGCTCCGGCTTCCTTGCGGGTCCCGAACGGGAGGCGATTACCCTCGATAAGGTTCGGACAATGGATCCGCCATCGACAGAATCTGCAGTCTGATCCGTCTCAATGGCGGAGGCCCCGAGAATGATTATTTTCAGAGTCGTGGCCCTGTCGCCCATTCTCGTATCGTTTCCGACGAATATTCAGGGTCGGAATACCTCATTCGATTGTATGTAGAAAATCATCCATAATGATAATTATAATCATCAATAATTATAATCATTCATGATCTGCCAGGGCCCTTAAGGAGGCTCGCGAGAGAGGGAAGGAAGGGTGGAGAGGGAAGCCACTGAAACTTCCAACTGAAACGTCCAGAGCCGATCCTTTATTCCGATTCCTCAGGGTGCGTCCGAGTCCGGGGACGCATGAGGCTCCGGGGGCGCATCAGAATCCGGCGAAGCATCGGAGTCGGGAGGCGCATTCTGGTTCGGATCCAGCGCCACATCTAAAAACCCTTGGAGCCTTGCGAGATATTCCGTCGTTTCGCGATAAATTTCTCCGGCAGTTAGGTGCGTCCTCATTTCCTTCAGGGGACAGAGGAACCGTATGGCGCAACCCATGAATACATGTCGGTCGTCATCGAGGAATTCGAGAGTTGTACCGACAGACTCAGGGGCGATTCGAGTCTTCTCCTAATTTCGCTCTCGGGAAGTCACTCACTTTCTTGATCACCTTCGGGATGCTCTCATACAGGGCACGGGCCTCCACGAACATACATCCGATGCGATAGATGTCTTGCGGCTCCAAGCACTCTCCGGGACCAACTCCGAAAACAGCGTCGAAGTAATCATGTCTGGCCGCTCTGTAAGCTTTGATGAAGGCTCGAACTGAGGCGTTCTCATGTTCGTACTCCGGGGCATCGACTTCATCGTCATCGTCTTCGCTGTCCTCCTCGGATTCGGCTCTCTGCGGCGGGAAGTTCTCAATTCGGAGCCTTGACTCTCACAATAGCACAATTCTCTGCCGATTCACAAGGATCTCACCACTGCTCCCGGGGGCTCCGCGTCTCGAGGGATTCCTGGTGCTTTTCTCAGCATGAATTTTGAAGTATCATCGTCGTAAACGAGATGTAGTGAGCTGTCGAAGACTTTCAGAGCGGATACCCATAGCTGCGCGAACCTCGCTCTCGCCTGCGTTGAAACCGTGTTGGAGCAGCACCCGCTCTTCAGCGGGTCGAACTCACGACTAGGAAAACGATTCTCACCTCTAAGACGCTCGGTGGTATCGCGTAGAATTTCGCTATCGCTTCGAGGATTCGAACCTTGATGGTAAGCTTTTCGAGCAAGGTTAGATCCTCACCCGGCTCAAGCTGCTGTCTGGTCAAGAGGAACACCCTCTGAGCACTCCTAGCTCTTTCGATGAAATCACGTACATTCTGATCCTCGTGGTAGTAGTCAAGGGGTGAGCAGACCTGTGACTCCTCGTCTATCTACGGCCAAGATTTCGTGAGGGACTTTAGACTCGAATACCGATATCGGTAGCAAAAAGCCTAGTAGGGAGCCTGGGCTCCGGCAATCGGAGCTCTCGAACCTAGGAGGAGAACTCACTGAATAACTCTTGGGACCGACCACCGACATGGTACTGGACTATCTTGCTTGATTCTGAGGCTCAGGTTGAAGGAATCAGGAGGATGACTCAAACCTGCAAAGAAGTCGGGGCGAAGATTGGTCATGACTCATGATGGAGCCTGTTCCTATTGGGTCTCTCTCGAAAAGCTTCAGCTCCGTGGTTCAATCTTGAAGCAACCCACACCCGCTCCATTGCGCTGCGCGAGATTTTGCCTGACTGGAAGTTCCTCAAAACTTCCGTTCCAAGCTGAGGAAGGACTGGGTGAGCTGGACTCAGAGCTACAACCGTCATGAAAGCCTACCTCTGAAGATGAGTAGTCAGGCGATAATGGGTCTTACTGATCGAGACATTCGTCGCATTCCATGAGAACTGAATTCTTCGTTTTCGTAGAGCTAAAAGCGACTCCCGAATCACATGATGGAACCTTGGAATTCGCCATTGTGGATCTGCTGCTCCGGGAGAGGAGGCTCGGGGAGAATCGTATCCCAGACTCTTGCGCCAGGTTCACGATTCGTATTCCCAGGATTCATTCCGAAATCCGATTCGGGGGCGAGGGAAGGTGCAACCAGTGTTTTCCCGCGAACTTCTCCCAAGAAAGTACGTCCAGGCCCCATTCTCGGAGTCGCCGATCCGCAATGCGGGTGCGAATATTTTTATTTTCGAACGCCGACTCTAATTCTTGTATTGATGAGCGATATTACTCATTTACGACGTGACGCTCACTGAGAGCGACCTCTCGGAAGGCTCGGAGGCATTTCGTGTACCTGTCGAGCTCTTTGCTCAATTGTCCGGCGGTGCTCATGGTCCTCGGCTCCTGTTTGGGCCAGACAGGGTGACTGCACTTCTCCAAACTTACGAGGGTGAACCGAGATATTCTGTTGCCTGACGATATTCCTGCCATGCTTCAAAACGCGTGACGAGTTAGATTCGAGCATTCGAGCTCACCTTCCTGATCTGAGATGGAATCTTCTTGTAGAGCTCTTGAGACTCCCTGATCATCTTGTCACAATTGTATAGAGTCTCCGGACTCATGTCCTCGTCCGGTTCCATTTCGAAGACCGCTTCGAAATACGCTCGTCTGGCTCGTTTGTAACTCTTGATGAACTTGCGGACTAAAGCGTTCTCGTGTTCGCTATCTGGTCGTGTGTCTTCATCGTCTTCGTCATCTGCGTCGTCGCCCTGGAGCCTCTCTCCAGGGAGCAATCCCGATGTGGGGACTGCGTCAAGGCTCTGACCGCGAAAATCGATTGAGTTTGGAGTTCCCATGAATTGAATGGCTCGATCGGCTGATCATCGTCTGGTATCATCGAGGAGATGGGAAACTACTGACCGCTGCCGGCTCGCTGACGAATCTCATAGATTTCTCATCGTACACCAGATTGAGCCCTTTCTCGCAATCACCAAGAGCTCGGTACATCACCTCCGTATCAGATGAATTCTGCGAATAAAGATCGTTTGGTCCGAGTTACATCGTGGCCCTGACTGTCCTCTGTCCACAGTCCGCCGAGCGTGACTTTCTCGTACTCACACTCTTTATTTCTCTGGGCAACCGTGAATATCCCACCATAGTCTGGAGGATGAGAGCTTTGCAGCTGAGCAGCTCCCTCATTGATACCTCTTTGCCGGACCTCATGCGCTTCTGCAGTGCCTGAGATTCCTTCTGCGCGCGGGCGCCAAGTCTCATAAAACGAGCAATAGCCTCTCCTTGATCGGTCATAGTCAGCTCTGCGGTGAACACAGATGTCGATCGACTTATCTTCGAATCGACTTGTAACTTTTACAGATGGAAGCGGAAAACTGGCGAGATCCTGCCTGAGAGTTGAGATCCGCTGCGTCCCCGATAAGAACTCTATCCAGCTCCGACCCACCTTCGTTATTGTTCCCTCCCCCCTCACTCGACTTCGTTGTCAAGAAAGCAAGGGACAGGTGCGATGGGAACAATTGCGAAAGCGACTGGCTGAACATCCCCGTTTGAAGCGGAGCCGGGACTCCGTCGGGGGTGTTGCCAAGACTTTCTGCCCGTGAGAGACCACTCGGATTCTGGAACGGAGCTCGAGCGGCGGGGGAAACTCACTATGACACGCCTTCCCGGAGTCTGCGCTCCGGCATGTGGGACAGAAACTCTTGTGGTAGCCTCCATCACTTTTCGTCCTCCTGCTCAAGCTCCCGACTTTTGCTGGTTCCAGACAGGCTGATAGCCGATTCACTCGCATAAACACCCTAGTGGTTGTGAGAGAAGCCCTGAAGCCGTCATTTGAAGAAAATATCGGTGAAAATATGAAAATTTAATGAAATCGGGCTGGGCTACGAGGACTTCAAGGCTTCTTCCGTCAAGATTCCTCTTCCGAGAGCCAAGCTGAAATCTGTACCGGTCCCCTGGTTCTCTGGTATCATGGACAGTCGAAGCGAGACTCGGCGCAGAGAAGATGTCGATCGAAGACATTTTCTCCCTCAAGGACGCGATAGAGGAAGCTGTGAAAAGCTATGACATTTTCCCCTCGAATTGAGATCTGCGATGGAATCTCCTCTCGATGACGGATTGAGTACCAGAAACTCCTCTGGTGTTCCCCAGGCCTCGCATCCCAGCGCCGGAAGTCACTCCCAAGCAACCACGCGTCTTCCAGGGAACGAGTCAGCCGAACGGATAGGAGTTGGTGCCTCCGGACGAACCACTGTCTTTCGACAAGAAGATACGTCGACATTTCAACGAAGCCTCCGGAAGCGCGACGCGGCTGCTCTGAGGCGCATCAAATAAATGGCGGATCTGAACTCTGAACGAAGGATTGGACCCGGCCAGGTGCGGATCAGCAGGGTCGTGCAGATAGGGCGAAGTGCTCGACTCAGGGACCCTCCTGGGTCTTCCGGGTTCTTTCCATTTCCACCAGGAAAGTTCTTGTCGACAGGATCGACTTGGCTTTCTCGCGGTACTCGAATAACCCGATTTGAATTCGGTGCCTATATGTATTCGAAATCGAGTCGGGAAACATCCGAAATCCTCGGTCGTATCATGGCTTATGGCGTCTGATCAGGTCTCTCTCAAAACTACTCTCAGATGAAGGCCTGATGAGGAGAGGTTCCACCGGGTGCCACTCCATGAGCTGAGCAACTTTCAGTCGGAGGCCTAAAGAGCTCCCGGTGGTGAGGGTTTTCGAACAGTTGTTTTGGAATATTCTGCTGACGATAGATCGCGGCTCTTCGACTTCAGAGGAAAATACCGTTTCCACGGTCAAAAATCATAGCAATTCGTGCGAATTCGTCGATAAATTGTGTTTCGCAGTCCTG